AATATTTGAATGCAATTAATATTGCATTGTACCGCCCAATATTATTAATAAAAAAAAGTTAAATTGCATTAATTAATATTGTAGTTATCTCATGTTACTATTTAAATAATACACTATTTTTACATATATTTATAAAGTATTGTTATATGTGCATGTAAAGTATTTTAAGTCATATTTTTCTAAGTATTTTTTTATTAGTAAAGTAAATAAATAGTACCTCTAATTTTAATTCATATTTTTCTATTTTCACAATGTTGTACTTTAGCTATATTTTTTTTGTACTTTAGCTATATATTTTATTTAGCTATATATTTTTTTGGCACTTTAGCTATATATTTTTAATAGCACCTCTAATTTTAATTCATATTTTCCTATTTTCACAATGTAGTACTTTAGCTATATATATTTTTTGTACTTTAGCTATATATTTTATAAATTTCGATATTTATACTCGATTACATGTACATATTTACTACTTCGAGAATGTATATATTTACTAACCTCACGGCTGAGATTCGCTGCGAAATTTCTTCAGATGGATCTGATAAATACATTTGTAAGAACTTTGGCCTTTTGCCATCATTTGGAAGGAGACTTCCAATTCTGTGATAGTTTTGACCATTCAAACAGAATATAGGCGGATTTTTCCCTTGATTTATTTCATGATCTACTTTTCCGCCCATCGATGTGAATGAAAACATTGAGTTGTATGATCTGATATTTTCAAGAAAGTGTTTACCCCGCTTGTCTTTGCCAAATATCAAATCTTCCAAAAGTTTTGGCGGTTGTTGCATTTTTGGGAGCACGACATTCCCTTGATTGCAACACAATGTGAACTTTGGCCTCTCTTTGGCTGACACTCTTTTCACTCTCTCCTCATGCCAAAAAAATGCTCCACAATATTCACATTCATATATAGCATCACCAAGATCGGTGTAACCTGAAAAATTGATTTAAGAAATGTAATATAGGAATGTATTATATTTTTAGTAAGTATTTTGAAATATGGCTTGGTCAATGAGGATAAATGAAAATAATATAATGTCAATGATACCTTCATTTGAAGATGTTGCATTATCAGCATGTTCATCTAAAGCATCATTTGTTAAAAACTTCATTAATATTTAATGTAAAGAAGTAATGTACAATAAAGTGTATGCTATTATGGTTCAATTTTGAATGCATCATTATAGTTTGAGCATTCATACGTACCTACAAATGGCATTTCATCAAAGTTGTGAAATTCATCTTCACATTGAGGAAGGTCACAATCTGCATGTAATTCATTATAAATTTACTTATTATTTCCCTAAAATATTACATGTATAAAAGTTAATAAATTTTAACTTGGGATACCCGGCTGAGGATTTGGATCAACTTTGTTCCCATCTAACCCTTCATCAATTATACGTCTGTTGCCACGACGAAGAGGAACAATCGGGACATCATGGTGTTGAGTGTCACTTGACTTAGGAATACTTCCAACAGGATTCCGATTTGTATAAATTCCCGGACGATCTATAGTGAGTAAACAATTACAGTTACATATGGAGTAAAAAATTATAATTAAAAAACGTAAATCAAATCTATATTCATAAATTTTATGTTGGGATACCTAGCTGAGAATTGGGATGACTTGTGTTCCCATATAACCCTTCATCAATCATACGCCTATTGCCACGCCGAAGAGGAACAATCGGGACAGCATGGTGTTGGGTGTCACTTGACGTAAAAATACTTTCAACAGGAATCCCATGTGCATAAGTTCCAGGACGATCTATAGTGAGTAAAAAATTACAGTTAAACATGGAGTAAAAATTTAAAATTAAATAACGCATATCAAATATATATTTTAATAAATTTTAACTTGTAATACCTGGGTGAGGACTGGGATAACTTGTGTTCCCATCTAACCCTTCATCAATTATGCGCCTATTGCCACGTCGAAGAGGAACAATCGGGACAGCATGGTGTTGGGTGTCACTTGACGTAAAAATACTTTCAACAGGATTCCTCTTTGTATAAATTTCAGGGCGATCTAAACAATTACAATTGGATATGAAGTAAAAAAAAATTAAAACTAAATAACTAATATCAAATATTCTTTCATAAATTTTAACTTGGGATACCTGGCTGGGGATTGGGATGACTTGTGTTCCCATGTAACCCTTCATCTATTATACGTCTGTTGCGACGACGAAGAGGAACAATCGGGACACCATGTTGTTCGGTGTCACTTGACGTAAAAATACTTTCAAGAGGATTACGGATTGTATAAATTCCAGGACAATCTGTAGTGAATAAACAATTAGAATTACATATGGATTGGAGAATTAAAACTAAATAACGAATATCAAATATTGTTGCTGATGTTACAATCATAATAATTTAAATAAATGACAATTCTTACTGTGAGGTGCCTGATCGTTGTCATTATCCTCGAGAGTTGGTGTCTGGTCTGATTGTGTTCGCTTGCCCAATATAGTAGTAGATTTGGTAATTCTCTTGATCTACACCACCTTTTAAATTTAAAACAGAGAAATTAAATTGAACAAATTAGACATATAAAAAAATATGGTGTAGTACATGATATTTTAAAAGAGATGTACAAATGTGTAGAAGTCTTCTAATAAGAGGAGTTATCTTAACATTCATCTATATGTATAAAATATTTTCAATTCTATAATGTGCATTGAAATTTTTTAATGTTATTTGAAGAAAGCGATGGGCAAATATAAGTAACTATTGAGATAATGTATCAAATTTGTATTTTCCTCATATTCACTTTCTACATATATTGATATTAATTTTTTACTTTATTCATTTGACTTTTTATTTTCATTTGTAATGATTAAGTTCGATACTTTTTGTTAGTTATTAAATCATTTAATAATCATAGAAAATAAATGAAATAGTAATTCATCTTAAAACAGTAAACAATCCATAATCATCTAATAAATAGAAAATAATAATTGGAATTTACATGGTAAATTACGGTATTTACATATATAAATAAATAAAGGACTGTCACTAAATTATAAGATCAGTAGTTTATTTGCTTATATATAGTAATTTTCCTCTACATAAATTCTCAATAATAAATAGAGAAGATGTTATTGACTCTAAAATATATTGGTTTCCTATATATATGTATTCCATAATAATTCGTTCCTTCTAATCCCATCTATAAAAATATGTCAAGAATGTCTTCTAAAATCCTACTACGTATTATAAAAATATGTCAAGAATGTTTATCTTAATAGCCTCTTTTAAAAAAAAATTGTACAAATGACATTGCACAGTTACACCGGTATAATAGCAACAAAAATGTTAACATTAATCATAGCCTGGAAAGAACGTAAGAAAAGGACTTGAAGTCTTCTTGTCTCAAAATTTTGATTTTTTTTACAATAAAATGTAAGGAAATAAAAAGGATGTTGGTGTGGTGGTTAATTACTTTCTTCATTCAAATAGGATTTCTTCCGAAATCCATAATATGAATTGATAACACATAACATGAATTATAGCCTAAAATCGTACTACGCATTATAATACACAACATGAATTGATAACTATATACTACGTATATCATTTATCAAATCAAAATAAACCATCCATAATCATGTAAAAATTAACGTACCCTAACTAATTGAGTGCAAAAAATCGATGTTAAAAATAAAAGATTTAGAACATACCTGGCACCGCATTTGTATGAAGTCATGTATGAAGAGAATTAGGTTGTATGTTGGAATGAACTGGGTAGAGAAGAGATGTATATATACAAAAGATTTCTCACTAAATTAGGAGAGATTAGTAGTTTACTTCCTTATATACCAATATATTAAAAAATGGCAAGATCTACCATCTTAATCTTAATAGCCTAATAAACTTACTTTTAATGCATATTAAGGGGTTTACTTATATAGGAGATTACTTACTTGGTTCCATATATATGATTATTTTAATGGCAAGATCTACCATCTTTTAATGCACAATTTGGTGACGTTTTTTTTTAATTATTTAAAAAAATGTAATTTATTTTTCGATTTTTTATTTTACTGTTTAATTAGATGCATTTAATTTAATAAGTTATCCTATATTGAAATTCGTAATGTTTTTTATTTTTCTATTTAATTAATTAAATGCATTTCATTTAATAAGATATCCTATATTGAAATATGGTAGTATTTTTTATGCTTTTTTTAACATACCATATTAAAATACTTGTTTTAAACCATTTAAGGCTTTGTTTCTTTGAAATACTGTAACATATTATTCAAATCACACAATAATTATTCCTAAAACAATACATAATCCATAATATCTAATTAAAACAAAACATAAATAATTCAGATGAAAAAATCCATGTCAACAGTAAAAGCTTCAGCTTATACCTGGTAGTTTGGTACAACGTTTTTATGATCTTTTTACCAATTCATAAAATTATTAATTGAATGCTTGAAATGAAACCAATACTTGAAAAAACCCATATGAATAGTAAAAACTGAAATTATAACATATTACATTATTACCCAGTTATGAGTAAGTATAATCCAAATGTAATAATTCACACCCATAACATATTAAAGGAAATTGAATAGTATTGAGAAGCCTAAGATAATAAAATGCATGAAACAATACGTGAACGAAAGTATAAAAGGCAGTTCTGAATTTCAATAGCAAATAATTATTCAAAATCATGGTTTTTCGATCTTCACGGCCTTAAGTTTCTTGTTGCTTGAGCCCTGTGTTTCGCCGTTGACATCACCAGTGACTGCTTCATCCGATTCTCGGCCGCGTCCAATTGATTTTGGAGTTCCTTTCTCATCAGTTTCAGTGTTTGAAATAACCTGCAGTTTTGATAATACCAATGTCATTATTCTTATGTTATTATTATACCAATGTTACTATTCTTATACTATACCAATATAACAAAAAATTGACTTTACGGTCTGATGGAATTGCCATATAAGAATAATATCATTATTCTTAAATGGCTTATTACAGAAACTAATAAGAGTTGTATGTTCTTCTTAAGTTATAAGTTAATTTAATGTTTACTATGAATCTGATTATGCATTTTAGATTTTTGTTTTTCTCTTTGTGTTCTTTCTGTTAAAACTTGCAGGAAGGGATATGTGAGTAAACTAAAGAATCATATTAAAAAATGTGTAAACTAATAAATCTGCTAATGTACAACTACTAAGTTCACTAAAGAACTTCAGCCAATGCCACTACTAAAAGATAGCAAATCTGCAACTACTAAGTTCAGTTTGCATTTCACTTTGCATATATAGTAAACTAATAAATGAGTAAACTAATAAACTAATAAATCTGCAACTATTAAAGAAGAGTGTGGTTTCTAGTGCTTGAGATAATATTCTACAATGTTTTTAGTCTAGACACCCATACTTTAATCAGTCTAGTGCAACAAACTCCAGTACCGAAGTCATCCTCAAATCCTAAAACTAATAAAATAAGGTGTAACTTAGTGCAATTATACTTTTGGATATACACTTGGTTAGGGCTTAAACAGTTTTCTTATTGCATAGATGAACACTTTTCTAAACAGTTTTAAGTGTGGCTGATATTATTGAAATACCACCAACGTAATCTCGTGGAGTTAAGGTATTACCACATTGGAGTCCCCTGTCGGCACAGATTCAAAAAGCAATTCCAAGTCTTCATCAGAATTGTACGCCTGTGGATTATTTTTAAGATTTAAAATGGATAAATATTTAATGAAACAAAGATATATTAAAATGTTTCAGGTATACTACCTCAGAACTCGTTCCTTCACTGCCTGCTGCCATCTTGAACTGTTTTATTTTTTCTTTATCGCTCGATATCATGCCTATTACATAAACCTGTTCACCATAGTTGGAGTTTGTGTTGGCAGACTTGATTTTGAATAGATATTCGCGTCCGATCAATTCAGATATGACTTCAGGGCAGCTGATAGGTCTAAGTGTTGCCTACAAACAGTTAGTTGTTTGGAAATTACATGTTACAGTATATGAATATATATATATATATATATATATATATATATATATATATATATATATATATTAAACAAATAATTTAAATATGAAGTACATAAGTACCACATTGAGGTGTTCGTAAAAATCTCCTGCAGCCTTTCCAAGTAGTAGCCGGGCCTCCTCATCCCAGAACATTACATCTGCAAAAGTTGTCCCATGTCTGACTTTCATTTTCAAAGTGTATCGCCAAACACCCTCATCTTTACTTCTACCGCACTTGCTGCACACTACATCTTCTTCACGCAGTTTCTTGCAACACTTTGCATCACTACAACCAAAATAAGCCCAATTTCGTGAAGAAAATATTGCATGTATCACGCCATAGAACCAGCATCCTCGGACCTGCTGCATTGAATATAAGCTTTGAGAAGAGGTGTGTGTAATATGATGCGAGCTAAGTTTAGAATATAAGATGTTTCTTCCTTCTCATACAACTTCTTCAAATTTAATAATAAATATAAAGAAGTTTATACCGTTGAACATTGCATATATGTTTACAAAATTAAACATTATTGCTGAAACAAATAAACTATTCCTGAGGCATCTATAAGAGAAAAATTAAAAGAAGTTGTTTGACAATTGCAGGTAGTTCTGTATTTCCAATTTGGAAATTGTTATCTGTATTTCTTCCATTGAGAAGAAATTAAAAAATCTCTTCTCAATGCCTCATGGATACTTTATTTGTTTCAGCAAAACCAATTCTAAAACCAAACAGCATAATCAATTTTTTTGTAAACATAGGATATAGTAATATATAGATAAAACAATGACATAACAAATTAATGTGAAACCATATGATTGAGTTGTTGTTGTAGTTGTTTTACCAAATAAAAACAAATCATATATTTTTTTCTTTCTTCTTAAAGAACCTATTTTAAAAAATTCTGTTAAAAAGGCCTTAGAGATACTTTATTTGTTAAAAAGGCCTTAGGGATACTTTATTTGTTAACATAGGATATAGTAGTATATAGATAAAAAAAAATGCCATAACAAATTAATGTCAAACCTAAAACTCAAATTCACCATTAGGAAGGAAATATAGTTTCTGAGATTATGAGTTAAACCTATGATATTAATGTTGAAGCCTTATGTAATATCTATACGTTTAATTTTTAAGTAGTCATTAATGATGAAACCTAAGCTAAACATGTAAACAATAGAGAAAAAGCTAATAAGAAAGTCCAGAACATATAGTTGTAGGGAAGTCCATTTCTAACAGTAAACATCTTATTTGAGAGAAAATGAGTAATGTCAAAGCTACTTATTTAATATCTAATAACTGCAGTTTAACATATTACCTCCTTCATAGTGGATAACTCTGAAAGTGATTAGGTAAAGCCGATCTCCTCACCATTAGTAAGAGATGCAGTAGATGATTTAGAAACAAAACTACTTGATGGTGTTGCTTGATGAACGGCGACCGTATACCTTCAACAAATGATTGAAATACCAAAAAATGTAAGACTTGAATAATCTTCTACATAAAAGCAATACAAAAGTTTACTGTTCATGCTACAGTAAATTCACTGTTCATGCTACAGTAATCCCGCCTAACAGCGTATTTCATCTCAATCGTTCGGTGCAATCCATCTTCACCGTTCCTTTCATCTTTCAGTTCTTCACTGTTTCTTTCATCTTTCCGATTCTTCACAATTTCCTCTTTAGCTATCTCCTTCTCCGCCTACCTTCGTCTTCTCATCCATTCCTCTCGCTTCATCCAGTTCCCGATTAGCCTCCTGAATTTCTCTGGCCGTAATATCAGGGTTCGTCCATTTCGGCTTCGTAGACAATCAGCCGATTCTCCAACGCTTAAATCAGCCGATTCTCATTTTATTTATTGCTTCATCAGTTGGAGATCCAATTTCTTCTCACTTATTTCTTCTTCACGGTTAGGGAAAAACTGAGCCCCTTTTTAGTACCCCAGACATCTCGATATTTCAATTCAGGTATAGTTTTCCAATGAAGTGTGTTTTATATTCATATTTCTTTGATTCGCCTCAACAAATCATTCGATTAAACAAAATCAGCACAGCTACTCTCCCAAAAATCGAATTACAACACCTTTTAAGTCTCCCATTATCCATATTTGTCCCTCTCAATCGGGATTGTGAGAAAATGCATAGTGGTCACCATTCATTGGTGATGGAAGTCTCCTGTTATCCATAATCGATGTAACAAAAGTCTCATACAATGCTCTTAAGTTTTTACATATGGCCATATGGGTGAATGAAGTCAACCGAGCATCCACACTTTTCATGTTAATGAGAATATTAGCTTCTTTGTTATGAAAGGGATATCCATTATTAACTTTTGCTCGGTATCTTAAGCTTTGTTATGTATAAGATCTCACTTTTAGTTTTGGTTGATTGATATTTGTAGATGGTTTAGTTCTTTGGCTACTTATTCCTTGGTAGGTGGTTCCCCTATCATCATCATCATTTTCTGATAACTGTATTCATATCAATATTATTATTTTGTTTAGTGAATTGATTAGTTCCTCCATTTTATTTTGCAGGTACCTTAAAAGAAAATATCTGACTAATAAGGAACCAGATGACAGGGATTAAAACACTGATTCTCTTTATCCCAATAAAGAACTCCTCACAGATTACGTGATATTTTAAAATCTGTTTTCCAGAATGGATTAAAATCTGAGATGTTTTATACACAAGTATGTGATATGTGAGAGTCAAGAGCTTATGGTTTAGCAAAACAACATCACCAAATGGCTTTGTGCTTTCTTTTATTCATCCAGCAAACCTTCAAACGATGCCCCTCGACATTCTTCTATACCCATTCAGGTTTGCTTTCTTTTCTACAAATGTGCAAGATAAAAGCTTTATATTAGTCAAACTCCATTAGAGGTAATTCAGAGTCTATGGTGTCGGGTTTTCACTAATATTAATATTCAGCTTTATATTAGTCAAATTCTTTACGAGAAAAATAATTATTCATTTATGTATGTATATATTAATGTATGGTGAACCAATTTTCCCAGTCCTATTTGTCATGACCATACTGTCAAAGTGTTATTGTGTCCAAACATTTCTTTAATACAATTATCCAAGGCAACTTCAACTCTGAATATGTAAATGAAACAAGCTCTGAATATGTAAATGAACTCTAGACATTTCTTTAATATTATTACCCAAAGCAACTTCAACTCTAGACAACCCCATAAGCCCATGCTTTAATATTATTATCCAAGGCAACTTCAACTCTAAATATGTAAATGAACTAAACTACAATATAATGATTGAGTTTTATTTTTTTATTATATTGTGTTGCTCCACTAATAATGAAATGTATTTCTTTTTCAAATTCAGGTATACAAGTGTTCCTGGATGCCAAAGTTCAATGCAATCCATATGTTCTGAACTGCATACTCTTAAGTCAGGCTCAATGGGTGTCTAAGGAGCTTACAGATGTCTGCTTATAATGATATTTAGTTCTTCATAGCTTCAAGTAGTGGAAACTATCTTCACTCCCTAAATACACTAACTGATATTGAACTTTTATTTACTAAACAGTGCCCAAACATAATACTCCAACATACGTTAATTTTGGAAACCAAATGCAGGGCACCAAGGGGAACTATATTCACAAGGGTAAAGTATATTCAAGTATAGCCATTGATTTTGCCATTGGTTATAAGAATGAGAAAATCAGACTATAACCATTGATTATGCCATTGGTTATAAGAATGAGAAGATAAGACTATAGCATTGGTTGAATTAGAGTTACCATGTCACCATGAAGTCTGTTTAGTAAATAAAAGTGTAATATCGTTTAGTCTAAAAGTCATATGCTTCTTCATGAGAATTAAGTTAGAATGACATCCCTACTCAGCTAAGGTTTGTTGTAAAGCATACTTATCGATTAGTATGTTAAATTTTCGGCCATGCTGAATAGGCAGAGTAGTAACATTATAGCTAACATTACTTAGAAAATCTGCAGTAGATACATTATAGCTTCTGACTATTGTTTTTTTTTTTTACTATTTTCTGTGTTTTAGAGTCAACAAACTGAAATGAATAAGTGGGACTGTGGCACTTGAGCTGTTCTACAATGGTTTTGGTCAAAGTTTTGGATTTGGCTAATTATTTTGGGATGAAGGTAGTAACACACACACACACACATATATATTTATATATATAATTTCTATATATATATATATATGTATACATATATAAAACGAAAGAACTTTGTTAAAAAGTATAATAATATCTACATACTTCATCTCTTTGTCTTAAATTTAAGGCTGTTCAAATAACATGTAAGTATATTCTACAATAAAAAAGCGTTTTGTTTATTAAAGAAATATTTAAAAATGGTAAGTACTCTCAATCATATGCGAAACCTTTTTTTGAAGAATAAAAACTTGAAAATGGTAAGTATATTCATCACCTAGAATCAAACCTAGAATCAAACCCTACAAGGAAAACTGCACTTCTAAAAGGAAACGCGCAACTCTCTCTATATACATGCAGTAAATCGACCTATTTTAGACTCATAGCATATAATAAATGTGTTTAATTAAAAAAGGCAGTTTTTCGTTTCTGTATTAATAAAGAGTCCCAACTGTATATGGTAAGAATCTGATAGCATATATATGTATATAAAATCGTGACAGTTAATTACAAGTATCAGTAATAGCCCATATACGGAAACATGTATCTTTTAAATTTCAGCACGAATGATTGAGAACCATAATTAAAATTCCGTCTATGTATACACACCAGAACCAAACATTCTTCTATTATATATATATATATATATATATATATATATATATATATATATACACACACACACGCACACACTTTAAACTTATCAGTGCTCAAGCATCTTAGCATTTGAAGGCAGAGGTTGAACAAGTATGTCATGAAACTTTTACAGTTCAATCATTTTTCGATTTTAATCTTTTGCAGATCAATCTTTTACGGTTCAATCATATTCATTATAAAGTTTCCATTAGTAAAATAATTGAAAAAGTACATATACACTTGAATCTTGCTTTAAAAGTACCTCCAGTGTATTCATGAAACTTTTACAGTTCAATCATGTTTCGATTTTAATCTTTTGCAGATCAATCTTTTACGGTTCAATCATATTCATTATAAAGTTTCCATTAGTAAAATAATTGAAAAAGTACATATACACTTAAATCTTGCTTTAAAAGTACCTCCAGTGTATTCATGATTTCATATGTTCAAATTTTGCTTCTTTGAATGATATTGCAGAAAAATGGCACCTGAGCAGAAATTTCTTTCTGATGTGACTCTTCAACTCCCACGCAATTCGGCCTTTTTGTTTCGTGTAAGGAGAAAGTGGACTGTGAAAGATCAGAACATGCGCTTGGGTTCCCGCGTTTGTGAATTAGTTTTGATGGATGAAAAGGTGATGAACTACCCAATGCCATATTTTTTTCTTACTTTTGATTTGATTTTATCTGCCTTTTTTAGTGAATCTGTGTTCCCATTGTGTACATTCCTGCCATTGTGTTCCATTGCCAAAAGAAGTAGTCATAAACCTGAAATTAGTCATTTTCTAATGCAAAATAGTAAAGAATCCAAATTTCTACATTCAGATTATAAGTTTTCGTAAAGATACAAAAATCAACTCATCATAATCTTTAAGTTTTCATAAAAATTATAGGTGAATGGTGCTAAAAGAAACAAAAAGCAACTAATCATAAGTTTTTTGGAAAATACATGACAAAGATGCCCATAAGGAAGACTGTAAATAATGTTTTCAATAACTGTAACATTAGTGACAGAAAACTTTGATTAGGATAGAGCTTGAACATATAAGGCTATAAAATCCACAGTTTCCTTCGAGAAGCATTGGCATTCTTAGGATCTTTAACATATAAGGAGAGTGAACTTTTCACAACTGTCCCCAGTGATCATACAAAATCCCTGCATTCACTATGAACAATAACAGTGTCATTTGAAGTTTGAACTTTTTTTTGCAAATTAAGTATATGATTCAGCCTGGAAATCACAAAAATAGTGACTGTTGTCTAAGTAGCAAAGTGTTGGGACACATGTACACCAGTACCTTTACCACTAAGGAGTTGAAGCCTGTATTCAAAAAGGGAAAAACTGCAAAAAAGAACTTTTAAATTATAAACTATATTTAGGATTGAAAAATCTCCAGCATATCTACACACATTCTCATGAGTTTTTTGGAAGGCCTAAACTTAAGTCATTTTAATCACAAAAAGCAACTAATCATAAGGTTTTCCTTAGGCCTAAAGTTAAGTCATTTTAATCGTAAACAGAAGGCACTTTTTTGGTTATTTGTTCTTTATATGGATAATAAATTTATTAGTCCAACTCACAGCGTGATCAAATTCAAGCAACGGTCCCTCTCCACTTGATCCCCCAGTTTGAAGATCAAATTGAAGAAGGCAACCTATACGCCATGCTCAACTTTTCTGTCAAGGAGAATCAAGGGGGTTGGAGAGCAACATCCCATCCATTCCGTTTGATGTTCACTGAAAAAACAAAAGTCATGCTTCAGACAAATGAAAAACATCATGAATTTCCAAAGAGCATTTATAATATCATAGCCTATGCAGATATTACCCATTCCCCAGATGTTGAAGCGCCCGATTTGATTGGTACGTTTCTAAAATAATATCTAAAAGTTGGTAGGATTACATTTTTTCTATCATTTTATGCTCTAACATTACCCTTAATTAAAATTAGATGTTATTGGTGCATACAATCCCGATGAAAAACCAACCAAACCAAGTGATGGGAAAGGCTCCTGGTGTCGATTTCCGTTGGTCAATCTAGAGTTAAGATACGATTATGCAGAATAAATTCATTCCTACACACATTCTTATTGGTCTATTATATTAACAATGTCATAACTAACATGTAGGAACACCAAAATAACATGCACACTATGGAATGAGTATTCAGCGCAATTTCTGGATTTTATTAACACAACTAGGCATGATCCCATTATTGTGCTACTGCAGTTTTGTCGGATAAATACGCGTTATGGTATTCCTACATCCCTTCTAAGTCGCAAATTATGTTTTCAATGTCTTACATTTGCTAATTTCATTTTGAGGATGCAATTAGTGCCCTAATGAAACTGTATATTTCATTTAGTCGGTGGTACGAAGGGTGTGTCGTCTGCATGGCAGTTTACAAAGTTACTAATTGATGAGAACATCCCTGAGATTGAAGACTTTCGAAGCCGGTATGAATACTTTTTATCTTAGTGCTGCGGTATAATGTTATGCTTAATTTATATGGATATTATTCAAGTCTTACATTTTTTGGTATTTCAATCATTTGTTGAAGGTATACGGTCGCCGTTCATCAAGCAACACCATCAAGTAGTTTTGTTTCTAAATCATCTACTGCATCTCTTACTAATGGTGAGGAGATCGGCTTTACCAAATCACTTTCAGAGTTATCCACTATGAAGGAGGTAATATGTTAAACTGCAGTTATTAGATATTAAATAAGTAGCTTTGACATTACTCATTTTCTCTCAAATAAGATGTTTACTGTTAGAAATGGACTTCCCTACAACTATATGTTCTGGACTTTCTTATTAGCTTTTTCTCTATTGTTTACATGTTTAGCTTAGGTTTCATCATTAATGACTACTTAAAAATTAAACGTATAGATATTACATAAGGCTTCAACATTAATATCATAGGTTTAACTCATAATCTCAGAAACTATATTTCCTTCCTAATGGTGAATTTGAGTTTTAGGTTTGACATTAATTTGTTATGGCATTTTTTTATCTATATACTACTATATCCTATGTTAACAAATAAAGTATCCCTAAGGCCTTTTTAACAAATAAAGTATCTCTAAGGCCTTTTTAACAGAATTTTTTAAAATAGGTTCTTTAAGAAAAAAGAAAAAAATATATGATTTGTTTTTATTTGGTAAAACAACTACAACAACAACTCAATCATATGGTTTCACATTAATTTGTTATGTCATTGTTTTATCTATATATTACTATATCCTATGTTTACAAAAAAATTGATTATGCTGTTTGGTTTTAGAATTGGTTTTGCTGAAACAAATAAAGTATCCATGAGGCATTGAGAAGAGATTTTTTAATTTCTTCTCAATGGAAGAAATACAGATAACAATTTCCAAATTGGAAATACAGAACTACCTGCAATTGTCAAACAACTTCTTTTAATTTTTCTCTTATAGATGCCTCAGGAATAGTTTATTTGTTTCAGCAATAATGTTTAATTTTGTAAACATATATGCAATGTTCAACGGTATAAACTTCTTTATATTTATTATTAAATTTGAAGAAGTTGTATGAGAAGGAAGAAACATCTTATATTCTAAACTTAGCTCGCATCATATTACACACACCTCTTCTCAAAGCTTATATTCAATGCAGCAGGTCCGAGGATGCTGGTTCTATGGCGTGATACATGCAATATTTTCTTCACGAAATTGGGCTTATTTTGGTTGTAGTGATGCAAAGTGTTGCAAGAAACTGCGTGAAGAAGATGTAGTGTGCAGCAAGTGCGGTAGAAGTAAAGATGAGGGTGTTTGGCGATACACTTTGAAAATGAAAGTCAGACATGGGACAACTTTTGCAGATGTAATGTTCTGGGATGAGGAGGCCCGGCTACTACTTGGAAAGGCTGCAGGAGATTTTTACGAACACCTCAATGTGGTACTTATGTACTTCATATTTAAATTATTTGTTTAATATATATATATATATATATTCATATACTGTAACATGTAATTTCCAAACAACTAACTGTTTGTAGGCAACACTTAGACCTATCAGCTGCCCTGAAGTCATATCTGAATTGATCGGACGCGAATATCTATTCAAAATCAAGTCTGCCAACACAAACTCCAACTATGGTGAACAGGTTTATGTAATAGGCATGATATCGAGCGATAAAGAAAAAATAAAACAGTTCAAGATGGCAGCAGGCAGTGAAGGAACGAGTTCTGAGGTAGTATACCTGAAACATTTTAATATATCTTTGTTTCATTAAATATTTATCCATTTTAAATCTTAAAAATAATCCACAGGCGTACAATTCTGATGAAGACTTGGAATTGCTTTTTGAATCTGTGCCGACAGGGGACTCCAATGTGGTAATACCTTAACTCCACGAGATTAAATTGGTGGTATTTCAATAATATCAGCCACACTTAAAACTGTTTAGAAAAGTGTTCATCTATGCAATAAGAAAACTGTTTAAGCCCTAACCAAGTGTATATCCAAAAGTATAATTGCACTAAGTTACACCTTATTTTATTAGTTTTAGGATTTGAGGATGACTTCGGTACTGGAGTTTGTTGCACTAGACTGATTAAAGTATGGGTGTCTAGACTAAAAACATTGTAGAATATTATCTCAAGCACTAGAAACCACACTCTTCTTTAATAGTTGCAGATTTATTAGTTTATTAGTTTACTCATTTATTAGTTTACTATATATGCAAAGTGAAATGCAAACTGAACTTAGTAGTTGCAGATTTGCTATCTTTTAGTAGTGGCATTGGCTGAAGTTCTTTAGTGAACTTAGTAGTTGTACATTAGCAGATTTATTAGTTTACACATTTTTTAATATGATTCTTTAGTTTACTCACATATCCCTTCCTGCAAGTTTTAACAGAAAGAACACAAAGAGAAAAACAAAAATCTAAAATGCATAATTAGATTCATAGTAAACATTAAATTAACTTATAACTTAAGAAGAACATACAACTCTTATTAGTTTCTGTAATAAGCCATTTAAGAATAATGATATTATTCTTATATGGCAATTCCATCAGACCGTAAAGTCAATTTTTTGTTATATTGGTATAGTATAAGAATAGTAACATTGGTATAATAATAACATAAGAATAATGACATTGGTATTATCAAAACTGCAGGTTATTTCAGACACTGAAACTGATGAGAAAGGAACTCCAAAATCAATTGGACGCGGCCGAGAATCGGATGAAGCAGTCACTGGTGATGTCAACGGCGAAACACAGGGCTCAAGCAACAAGAAACTTAAGGCCGTGAAGATCGAAAAACCATGATTTTGAATAATTATTTGCTATTGAAATTCAGAACTGCCTTTTATACTTTCGTTCACGTATTGTTTCATGCATTTTATTATCTTAGGCTTCTCAATACTATTCAATTTCCTTTAATATGTTATGGGTGTGAATTATTACATTTGGATTATACTTACTCATAACTGGGTAATAATGTAATATGTTATAATTTCAGTTTTTACTATTCATATGGGTTTTTTCAAGTATTGGTTTCATTTCAAGCATTCAATTAATAATTTTATGAATTGGTAAAAAGATCATAAAAACGTTGTACCAAACTACCAGGTATAAGCTGAAGCTTTTACTGTTGACATGGATTTTTTCATCTGAATTATTTATGTTTTGTTTTAATTAGATATTATGGATTATGTATTGTTTTAGGAATAATTATTGTGTGATTTGAATAATATGTTACAGTATTTCAAAGAAACAAAGCCTTAAATGGTTTAAAACAAGTATTTTAATATGGTATGTTAAAAAAAGCATAAAAAATACTACCATATTTCAATATAGGATATCTTATTAAATGAAATGCATTTAATTAATTAAATAGAAAAATAAAAAACATTACGAATTTCAATATAGGATAACTTATTAAATTAAATGCATCTAATTAAACAGTAAAATAAAAAATCGAAAAATAAATTACATTTTTTTAAATAATTAAAAAAAAACGTCACCAAATTGTGCATTAAAAGATGGTAGATCTTGCCATTAAAATAATCATATATATGGAACCAAGTAAGTAATCTCCTATATAAGTAAACCCCTTAATATGCATTAAAAGTAAGTTTATTAGGCTATTAAGATTAAGATGGTAGATCTTGCCATTTTTTAATATATTGGTATATAAGGAAGTAAACTACTAATCTCTCCTAATTTAGTGAGAAATCTTTTGTATATATACATCTCTTCTCTACCCAGTTCATTCCAACATACAACCTAATTCTCTTCATACATGACTTCATACAAATGCGGTGTCAGGTATGTTCTAAATCTTTTATTTTTAACATCGATTTTTTGCACTCAATTAGTTAGGGTACGTTAATTTTTACATGATTATGGATGGTTTATTTTGATTTGATAAATGATATACGTAGTATATAGTTATCAATTCATGTTGTGTATTATAATGCGTAGTACGATTTTAGGCTATAATTCATGTTATGTGTTATCAATTCATATTATGGATTTCGGAAGAAATCCTATTTGAATGAAGAAAGTAATTAACCACCACACCAACATCCTTTTTATTTCCTTACATTTTATTGTAAAAAAAATCAAAATTTTGAGACAAGAAGACTTCAAGTCCTTTTCTTACGTTCTTTCCAGGCTATGATTAATGTTAACATTTTTGTTGCTATTATACCGGTGTAACTGTGCAATGTCATTTGTACAATTTTTTTTTTAAAAGAGGCTATTAAGATAAACATTCTTGACATATTTTTATAATACGTAGTAGGATTTTAGAAGACATTCTTGACATATTTTTATAGATGGGATTAGAAGGAACGAATTATTATGGAATACATATATATAGGAAACCAATATATTTTAGAGTCAATAACATCTTCTCTATTTATTATTGAGAATTTATGTAGAGGAAAATTACTATATATAAGCAAATAAACTACTGATCTTATAATTTAGTGACAGTCCTTTATTTATTTATATATGTAAATACCGTAATTTACCATGTAAATTCCAATTATTATTTTCTATTTATTAGATGATTATGGATTGTTTACTGTTTTAAGATGAATTACTATTTCATTTATTTTCTATGATTATTAAATGATTTAATAACTAACAAAAAGTATCGAACTTAATCATTACAAATGAAAATAAAAATTCAAATGAATAAAGTAAAAAATTAATATCAATATATGTAGAAAGTGAATATGAGGAAAATACAAATTTGATACATTATCTCAATAGTTACTTATATTTGCCCATCGCTTTCTTCAAATAACATTAAAAAATTTCAATGCACATTATAGAATTGAAAATATTTTATACATATAGATGAATGTTAAGATAACTCCTCTTATTAGAAGACTTCTACACATTTGTACATCTCTTTTAAAATATCATGTACTACACCATATTTTTTTATATGTCTAATTTGTTCAATTTAATTTCTCTGTTTTAAATTTAAAAGGTGGTGTAGATGAAGAGAATTACCAAATCTACTACTATATTGGGCAAGCGAACACAATCAGACCAGACACCAACTCTCGAGGATAATGACAACGATCAGGCACCTCACAGTAAGAATTGTCATTTATTTAAATTATTATGATTGTAACATCAGCAACAATATTTGATATTCGTTATTTAGTTTTAATTCTCCAATCCATATGTAATTCTAATTGTTTATTCACTACAGATTGTCCTGGAATTTATACAATCCGTAATCCTCTTGAAAGTATTTTTACGTCAAGTGACACCGAACAACATGGTGTCCCGATTGTTCCTCTTCGTCGTCGCAACAGACGTATAATAGATGAAGGGTTACATGGGAACACAAGTCATCCCAATCCCTAGCCAGGTATCCCAAGTTAAAATTTATGAAAGAATATTTGATATTAGTTATTTAGTTTTAATTTTTTTTTTTACTTCATATCCAATTGTAATTGTTTAGATCGCCCTGAAATTTATACAAAGAGGAATCCTGTTGAAAGTATTTTTACGTCAAGTGACACCCAACACCATGCTGTCCCGATTGTTCCTCTTCGACGTGGCAATAGGCGCATAATTGATGAAGGGTTAGATGGGAACACAAGTTATCCCAGTCCTCACCCAGGTATTACAAGTTAAAATTTATTAAAATATATATTTGATATGCGTTATTTAATTTTAAATTTTTACTCCATGTTTAACTGTAATTTTTTACTCACTATAGATCGTCCTGGAACTTATGCACATGGGATTCCTGTTGAAAGTATTTTTACGTCAAGTGACACCCAACACCATGCTGTCCCGATTGTTCCTCTTCGGCGTGGCAATAGGCGTATGATTGATGAAGGGTTATATGGGAACACAAGTCATCCCAATTCTCAGCTAGGTATCCCAACATAAAATTTATGAATATAGATTTGATTTACGTTTTTTAATTATAATTTTTTACTCCATATGTAACTGTAATTGTTTACTCACTATAGATCGTCCGGGAATTTATACAAATCGGAATCCTGTTGGAAGTATTCCTAAGTCAAGTGACACTCAACACCATGATGTCCCGATTGTTCCTCTTCGTCGTGGCAACAGACGTATAATTGATGAAGGGTTAGATGGGAACAAAGTTGATCCAAATCCTCAGCCGGGTATCCCAAGTTAAAATTTATTAACTTTTATACATGTAATATTTTAGGGAAATAATAAGTAAATTTATAATGAATTACATGCAGATTGTGACCTTCCTCAATGTGAAGATGAATTTCACAACTTTGATGAAATGCCATTTGTAGGTACGTATGAATGCTCAAACTATAATGATGCATTCAAAATTGAACCATAATAGCATACACTTTATTGTACATTACTTCTTTACATTAAATATTAATGAAGTTTTTAACAAATGATGCTTTAGATGAACATGCTGATAATGCAACATCTTCAAATGAAGGTATCATTGACATTATATTATTTTCATTTATCCTCATTGACCAAGCCATATTTCAAAATACTTACTAAAAATATAATACATTCCTATATTACATTTCTTAAATCAATTTTTCAGGTTACACCGATCTTGGTGATGCTATATATGAATGTGAATATTGTGGAGCATTTTTTTGGCATGAGGAGAGAGTGAAAAGAGTGTCAGCCAAAGAGAGGCCAAAGTTCACATTGTGTTGCAATCAAGGGAATGTCGTGCTCCCAAAAATGCAACAACCGCCAAAACTTTTGGAAGATTTGATATTTGGCAAAGACAAGCGGGGTAAACACTTTCTTGAAAATATCAGATCATACAACTCAATGTTTTCATTCACATCGATGGGCGGAAAAGTAGATCATGAAATAAATCAAGGGAAAAATCCGCCTATATTCCGTTTGAATGGTCAAAACTATCACAGAATTGGAAGTCTCCTTCCAAATGATGGCAAAAGGCCAAAGTTCTTACAAATGTATTTATCAGATCCATCTGAAGAAATTTCGCAGCGAATCTCAGCCGTGAGGTTAGTAAATATATACATTCTCGAAGTAGTAAATATGTACATGTAATCGAGTATAAATATCGAAATTTATAAAATATATAGCTAAAGTACAAAAAATATATATAGCTAAAGTACTACATTGTGAAAATAAGAAAATATGAATTAAAATTAGAGGTGCTATTAAAAATATATAGCTAAAGTGCCAAAAAAATATATAGCTAAATAAAATATATAGCTAAAGTACAAAAAAAATATAGCTAAAGTACAACATTGTGAAAATAGAAAAATATGAATTAAAATTAGAGGTACTATTTATTTACTTTACTAATAAAAAAATACTTAGAAAAATATGACTTAAAATACTTTACATGCACATATAACAATACTTTATAAATATATGTAAAAATAGTGTATTATTTAAATAGTAACATGAGATAACTACAATATTAATTAATGCAATTTAACTTTTTTTTATTAATAATATTGGGCGGTACAATGCAATATTAATTGCATTCAAATATTTGATTACACTATTTGCTTCACAGGAAAGAGAGTGGCAAAACATTGGATGATACACTGGTACGCGATCTGAAAGATATGCTTGATACACACAACGTCCATGCCAAATCTTTCCGGATGGCAAGAGATAGGTTCAATGAATCTAACTCCACAACATTGAAAATGAGGCTAATAGGGAAAAGAAAGTCAGAAGGGCGGACGTATAACACTCCCACTGTTTCAGAAGTGGCAGCACTTATTGAGGGAGACTTCCACGTGAACAAAGCAGAGCGAGATGTTGTCGTTCAAACAAAGGGTGGAGCTTTTCAGTTCATGACGGAGTTAAACCCTTCATTTCTAGGGTTGCAATATCCATTATTATTTCCGTACGGCCAGGATGGATTCAGAGAGGATGTCAGATTGACCAGCGAGAATGATGAGACGGAGCAAGGAAGGAAGCATGTTACTCAAAAAGAGTTCTTTTCATATCGAGTGCAAGATCGAAAGAATGAATCATCATACATACTACGAGCGAAGCGCTTATTTCAACAATTTCTGGTGGATGGCTATACAATGATAGAATCCTCTCGATTGCGATATATTCGTCAGCATCAGAAGGAGTTGAGAAGTGACTTATATAGTGGCTTGGCTGATGCAGTAGGTCGGGGTGAGACTAATGCATCAAGGGTGGGCCAACTCATTGTGCTACCGAATTCTTTCACAGGGAGTGCACGTTATATGATGCAAAATTATCAAGACGCGATGGCCATTTGTAGATGGGCAGGATATCCGCAGTTGTTCATAACATTCACATGTAACCCTAAGTGGCCAGAGATTGTGCGCTTCGTTAGTGACAGAGGTTTGAATCCAGAAGACAGGCCAGACATCCTTTGTAGGATATTTAAAATGAAGCTGGACCTCCTAATAAAAGATTTGAAGCACAATAAAATATTTGGTGACGTCAAAGCAGGTAATAATTGTAACATTTACAACATCTTACAGATTACCATTTTCCATCTATTGCAACTAACTCAACTTTTAAATGTAACATGTGTTTCTTTTAATAATTTTGATATTACATTTGTCAATTTGATTTAAATTACATTTTAAGAGTATTTTTAAATACGCTGAAAATAAAAAAAATTAGCATATAAATGTGTTGTTTTATTTTGTCACATTCTTTTTATGTATCTCAACATTTAATTCTTTTCAAGGCATGTGTTATAGTAGTTTATATATTCAGACTACAAGATAAAAAATATACATGTCAATAGTTGGTATGTTTCATTTATAATTGAAATGTAACAAACATTTTTTCCCTGCAGTTATCTACACTATTGAGTTTCAAAAGCGTGGTTTGCCTCATGCCCACTTAATGTTGTTAAAGGTGCTACATCCTTTGAAGAGTTGCGCACTTATAACGGGACATTATTTCCCAGCTTTAGGGATGCTTGCTATGCCCGTGGGTTGCTAAAGGATGATAAGGAATATATAGATGGGATTACTGAGGCAAGTCATTGGGCATCCGCATATGCACTCCGTAATTTGTTTGTTACTCTTTTATTGTCGGATGTGTTGTCAAAGCCACAATTGGTATGGGAGAAGTGCTCGCAATACTTTTCAGAGGACATACTCTACAACATTAGAAGGAACCTCAATGACCCTGGTATGTTACTAAACTAACTGTTCAATTTTGACCATGTTTCGTGCATGAGTTTTTATCATATTACAAATATTTGTAATAAAAATATGTATACAAATTCTAATTAATATTTTATTCTTATAATATGATTTTAGTCTATTACAAAGAAAAATCTTGACATATTATTAATCAATATTTTATTGTTATAATATTTTACTTTGATGCATTAAAATGCATTAACTAAAATGGAATATGTATTTTTATTTCTTAAATGATAAGGGATTTTTAACTAAATATTTAAATGATTTAAAACATTTATTACAATGCGAAATAATATGACCTAGATCAAAGCAATCCACACTTGAATTAATTGATTCAATTCTAACTGAGTTTCCGTGCATGAGCTTTTACCATATTACAAATATAAATACTAAATTATATGTATGTAGAGTACCAATTGAGCACAGATGAGGTGAACAAATATTGCTTGATCGAGATTGAGAAGTCGTTAAGGAAAAGGTGCAGATCACTACGAGATTTTGTGGGAATGCCAATGCCACCTGAATCTGATATTCCTTCCATTGAAGACACCATAATTCATGAAGAGTTGAAGTATGACAAATCTGTCATGGCCGAGACACATGCAAAATTATTGGTTGGTTTTTCATCGGGATTGTATGCACCAATAACATCTAATTTTAATTAAGGGTAATGTTAGAGCATAAAATGATAGAAAAAATGTAATCCTACCAACTTTTAGATATTATTTTAGAAACGTACCAATCAAATCGGGCGCTTCAACATCTGGGGAATGGGTAATATCTGCATAGGCTATGATATTATAAATGCTCTTTGGAAATTCATGATGTTTTTCATTTGTCTGAAGCATGACTTTTGTTTTTTCGGTGAACATCAAACGGAATGGATGGGATGTTGCTCTCCAACCCCCTTGATTCTCCTTGACAGAAAAGTTGAGCATGGCGTATAGGTTGCCTTCTTCAATTTGATCTTCAAACTGGGGGATCAAGTGGAGAGGGACCGTTGCTTGAATTTGATCACGCTGTGAGTTGGACTAATAAATTTATTATCCATATAAAGAACAAATAACCAAAAAAGTGCCTTCTGTTTACGATTAAAATGACTTAACTTTAGGCCTAAGGAAAACCTTATGATTAGTTGCTTTTTGTGATTAAAATGACTTAAGTTTAGGCCTTCCAAAAAACTCATGAGAATGTGTGTAGATATGCTGGAGATTTTTCAATCCTAAATATAGTTTATAATTTAAAAGTTCTTTTTTGCAGTTTTTCCCTTTTTGAATACAGGCTTCAACTCCTTAGTGGTAAAGGTACTGGTGTACATGTGTCCCAACACTTTGCTACTTAGACAACAGTCACTATTTTTGTGATTTCCAGGCTGAATCATATACTTAATTTGCAAAAAAAAAGTTCAAACTTCAAATGACACTGTTATTGTTCATAGTGAATGCAGGGATTTTGTATGATCACTGGGGACAGTTGTGAAAAGTTCACTCTCCTTATATGTTAAAGATCCTAAGAATGCCAATGCTTCTCGAAGGAAACTGTGGATTTTATAGCCTTATATGTTCAAGCTCTATCCTAATCAAAGTTTTCTGTCACTAATGTTACAGTTATTGAAAACATTATTTACAGTCTTCCTTATGGGCATCTTTGTCATGTATTTTCCAAAAAACTTATGATTAGTTGCTTTTTGTTTCTTTTAGCACCATTCACCTATAATTTTTATGAAAACTTAAAGATTATGATGAGTTGATTTTTGTATCTTTACGAAAACTTATAATCTGAATGTAGAAATTTGGATTCTTTACTATTTTGCATTAGAAAATGACTAATTTCAGGTTTATGACTACTTCTTTTGGCAATGGAACACAATGGCAGGAATGTACACAATGGGAACACAGATTCACTAAAAAAGGCAGATAAAATCAAATCAAAAGTAAGAAAAAAATATGGCATTGGGTAGTTCATCACCTTTTCATCCATCAAAACTAATTCACAAACGCGGGAACCCAAGCGCATGTTCTGATCTTTCACAGTCCACTTTCTCCTTACACGAAACAAAAAGGCCGAATTGCGTGGGAGTTGAAGAGTCACATCAGAAAGAAATTTCTGCTCAGGTGCCATTTTTCTGCAATATCATTCAAAGAAGCAAAATTTGAACATATGAAATCATGAATACACTGGAGGTACTTTTAAAGCAAGATTTAAGTGTATATGTACTTTTTCAATTATTTTACTAATGGAAACTTTATAATGAATATGATTGAACCGTAAAAGATTGATCTGCAAAAGATTAAAATCGAAACATGATTGAACTGTAAAAGTTTCATGAATACACTGGAGGTACTTTTAAAGCAAGATTCAAGTGTATATGTACTTTTTCAATTATTTTACTAATGGAAACTTTATAATGAATATGATTGAACCGTAAAAGATTGATCTGCAAAAGATTAAAATCGAAAAATGATTGAACTGTAAAAGTTTCATGACATACTTGTTCAACCTCTGCCTTCAAATGCTAAGATGCTTGAGCACTGATAAGTTTAAAGTGTGTGCGTGTGTGTATATATATATATATATATATATATATATATATATATATATATATATATATATATATATATATATAATAGAAGAATGTTTGGTTCTGGTGTGTATACATAGACGGAATTTTAATTATGGTTCTCAATCATTCGTGCTGAAATTTAAAAGATACATGTTTCCTTATATGGGCTATTACTGATACTTGTAATTAACTGTCACGATTTTATATACATATATATGCTATCAGATTCTTACCATATACAGTTGGGACTCTTTATTAATATAGAAACGAAAAACTGCCTTTTTTAATTAAACACATTTATTATATGCTATGAGTCTAAAATAGGTCGATTTACTGCATGTATATAGAGAGAGTTGCGCGTTTCCTTTTAGAAGTGCAGTTTTCCTTGTAGGGTTTGATTCTAGGTTTGATTCTAGGTGATGAATATACTTACCATTTTCAAGTTTTTATTCTTCAAAAAAAGGTTTCGCATATGATTGAGAGTACTTACCATTTTTAAATATTTCTTTAATAAACAAAACGCTTTTTTATTGTAGAATATACTTACATGTTATTTGAACAGCCTCAAATTTAAGACAAAGAGATGAAGTATGTAGATATTATTATACTTTTTAACAAAGTTCTTTCGTTTTATATATGTATACATATATATATATATATATATATATATAGAAATTATATATATAAATATATATGTGTGTGTGTGTGTTACTACCTTCATCCCAAAATAATTAGCCAAATCCAAAACTTTGACCAAAACCATTGTAGAACAGCTCAAGTGCCACAGTCCCACTTCCTCATTCATTTCAGTTTGTTGACTCTAAAACACAGAAAATAGTAAAAAAAAAAACAATAGTCAGAAGCTATAATGTATCTACTGCAGATTTTCTAAGTAATGTTAGCTATAATGTTACTACTCTGCCTATTCAGCATGGCCGAAAATTTAACATACTAATCGATAAGTATGCTTTACAACAAACCTTAGCTGAGTAGGGATGTCATTCTAACTTAATTCTCATGAAGAAGCATATGACTTTTAGACTAAACGATATTACACTTTTATTTACTAAACAGACTTCATGGTGACATGGTAACTCTAATTCAACCAATGCTATAGTCTTATCTTCTCATTCTTATAACCAATGGCATAATCAATGGTTATAGTCTGATTTTCTCATTCTTATAACCAATGGCAAAATCAATGGCTATACTTGAATATACTTTACCCTTGTGAATATAGTTCCCCTTGGTGCCCTGCATTTGGTTTCCAAAATTAACGTATGTTGGAGTATTATGTTTGGGCACTGTTTAGTAAATAAAAGTTCAATATCAGTTAGTGTATTTAGGGAGTGAAGATAGTTTCCACTACTTGAAGCTATGAAGAACTAAAGATCATTATAAGCAGATCGACATCTGTAAGCTCCTTAGACACCCATTGAGCCTGACTTAAGAGTATGCAGTTCAGAACATATGGATTGCATTGAACTTTGGCATCCAGGAACACTTGTATACCTGAATTTGAAAAAGAAATACATTTCATTATTAGTGGAGCAACACAATATAATAAAAAAATAAAACTCAATCATTATATTGTAGTTTAGTTCATTTACATATTTAGAGTTGAAGTTGCCTTGGATAATAATATTAAAGCATGGGCTTATGGGGTTGTCTAGAGTTGAAGTTGCTTTGGGTAATAATATTAAAGAAATGTCTAGAGTTCATTTACATATTCAGAGCTTGTTTCATTTACATATTCAGAGTTGAAGTTGCCTTGGATAATTGTATTAAAGAAATGTTTAGACACAATAACACTTTGACAGTATGGTCATGACAAATAGGACTGGGAAAATTGGTTCACCATACATTAATATATACATACATAAATGAATAATTATTTTTCTCGTAAAGAATTTGACTAATATAAAGCTGAATATTAATATTAGTGAAAACCCGACACCATAGACTCTGAATTACCTCTAATGGAGTTTGACTAATATAAAGCTTTTATCTTGCACATTTGTAGAAAAGAAAGCAAACCTGAATGGGTATAGAAGAATGTCGAGGGGCATCGTTTGAAGGTTTGCTGGATGAATAAAAGAAAGCACAAAGCCATTTGGTGATGTTGTTTTGCTAAACCATAAGCTCTTGACTCTCACATATCACATACTTGTGTATAAAACATCTCAGATTTTAATCCATTCTGGAAAACAGATTTTAAAATATCACGTAATCTGTGAGGAGTTCTTTATTGGGATAAAGAGAATCAGTGTTTTAATCCCTGTCATCTGGTTCCTTATTAGTCAGATATTTTCTTTTAAGGTACCTGCAAAATAAAATGGAGGAACTAATCAATTCACTAAACAAAATAATAATATTGATATGAATACAGTTATCAGAAAATGATGATGATGATAGGGGAACCACCTACCAAGGAATAAGTAGCAAAGAACTAAACCATCTACAAATATCAATCAACCAAAACTAAAAGTGAGATCTTATACATAACAAAGCTTAAGATACCGAGCAAAAGTTAATAATGGATATCCCTTTCATAACAAAGAAGCTAATATTCTCATTAACATGAAAAGTGTGGATGCTCGGTTGACTTCATTCACCCATATGGCCATATGTAAAAACTTAAGAGCACTGTATGAGACTTTTGTTACATCGATTATGGATAACAGGAGACTTCCATCACCAATGAATGGTGACCACTATGCATTTTCTCACAATCCCGATTGAGAGGGACAAATATGGATAATGGGAGACTTAAAAGGTGTTGTAATTCGATTTTTGGGAGAGTAGCTGTGCTGATTTTGTTTAATCGAATGATTTGTTGAGGCGAATCAAAGAAATATGAATATAAAACACACTTCATTGGAAAACTATACCTGAATTGAAATATCGAGATGTCTGGGGTACTAAAAAGGGGCTCAGTTTTTCCCTAACCGTGAAGAAGAAATAAGTGAGAAGAAATTGGATCTCCAACTGATGAAGCAATAAATAAAATGAGAATCGGCTGATTTAAGCGTTGGAGAATCGGCTGATTGTCTACGAAGCCGAAATGGACGAACCCTGATATTACGGCCAGAGAAATTCAGGAGGCTAATCGGGAACTGGATGAAGCGAGAGGAATGGATGAGAAGACGAAGGTAGGCGGAGAAGGAGATAGCTAAAGAGGAAATTGTGAAGAATCGGAAAGATGAAAGAAACAGTGAAGAACTGAAAGATGAATGGAACGGTGAAGATGGATTGCACCGAACGATTGAGATGAAATACGCTGTTAGGCGGGATTACTGTAGCATGAACAGTGAATTTACTGTAGCATGAACAGTAAACTTTTGTATTGCTTTTATGTAGAAGATTTAAAAGTTCCATACACTTTTCTTTTTAGAATGTATTTAAAGATTCTCTCCACTTTCATTTTTGGTAAGTTTATCCTTTACAAAATACTCAACTATCCTACTTTATCTACTTTTATCTTCTTTTTCATACTTTTACACACTCTCTTCTACTTTTTCAACACTATTCATTATCCTTACTATTATAGCCTAAATTATTGTGCCAAAAGCAAATGTAGGGAACCTATAAATGCGGAGGAAGTACATTTTTATACTCCGTGTGTGTGTGCGTGTGTGTGTATATGGATGATCATGTCCAGCCGGAAGGACAGGATCCTCCGTCCGGCCGCCATCATTTGAGTGGTTCCCGGTGTAATTTTTGATCCTGTCCCTCCGGCTGGACATGATCTATATTCATAAATATAGATTTAAATTATAGATATATAGATAATTAGATATATAGATTTATGAATTTATAGATATCTAAATCTAAAATATTATAATAGTGAATGAAGGTTAGGATATTTTAGGTATAAAAAATGTGTTGGTGGTAATCCTAAGCTATAGTCTACTTGTACTTTGAGCTGAAATTTGTGTGCCTTAGTTTGTGGTACTTTTTAAATACCTAATCAACCTTACACTCCCGTTTGTTAACTTATGTACAAGCTTTTTATACTAACGTTTCCCGACAAATGTTTTACTACAACTCAACCGACTCATGCTTATTTCTTTTCCTTACTCTATTCTCGCTTTAGTTTTTTTGTTTTTTTGTGCCTAACAAATATATTACGGAACATGATCACAAGCTGAAATCATATTATTATTGGATTTATGAGTATAGAACTTTGGATGTCATTCCTTTCTTTTTCAAACAAAATATAGAAATAGTAGAATAGTCAACACCAGTTTGTTTATTAATTCATTGTCCATTTAGTAACACTGATATAATCTTAAATTTTGAAATTGAATAAATGCTTGATAAAGTGGCTAAATTGTTTAAATATATATAAAAAGATTATATTTCACAAAAATTTATTAATAAATTAAAGAAAATATTATATAAAATGACTAAAATTATCATCTACGGTAATTTTAACCAATTTATTCAGAAAAGTTATTTAACTTTACTTATTTTGAATATTGCACAATTCAGTGACGGAAATCAAAAGTTACGTGTTTGGTAAAAATATTGACTGATAAGGCTGATAAGCTGTAAAGCGATTTACCAAATGGGCTCTCAAATAATTTTCAGCAAGATATGTGACTTAATTAGAAAAATCTACCTCATTTGCTACTACCTATCGTTGTAGTACAAGAGGAAGTGGTGTGATTACCCAAAGGTGAATTTAAGTGATTGATATTAAATTGATAAAATGAAAATAAAATAAGAATGATTAGAAACCAAACAAACACTACAAATATAATCTTAGTAGGAGGACAAGAAAGAAAAGATAGATGAAACTATCTTAACTCGACAGGGGAAGTATTAAACAATTATAACTAAAACTGTTACGAGTTTATTTTATATTAGTAATGTAAATATTTTGAGCTTGCTTCTTAGTCTCTATTTTGACTTTTCACACTAATCAAACACCCCGGTAACATTTTTATGAAACATGCAGTTTTTTTATTTGAAACGCTAAATTGGCTATTAAAAATGTAAGATTGGTGTTATTTTCTGCTGAATTTGAAGAAAAAGTCTATTGTAGTTGTTTTTCATAAAGTATATGCTTTTTTAATTTGGCACATTTAGAAAATATGATCAGAATTTGATAAAATTTAACAAGATTAGTCGATTCAATCAATTTCATTGTTACCTAAAGGACTTTTCAAGTCTTAAGCTACAAGTTTTGTGAGTAATATGTTTTAGAGGTAAAGCGAGAAGGAAAAAGGGTGAAAAGAAAAGAAAGGAGATGGACTCTTAGCTTCTACAACTATGCAAGAAAAGAGTAAAAAGTTTTGAAATTATAATGTTTTGTCAAAAAAATAACCGCTTCTCATTTGTATGCCCCAATTTTGTTCTTAAGCACGAGTGCTTTTCCGAACCCAACTATCTTGAATGAATCAATAAAAATACATATTTTGAAAATGATTTCTAATAATCTCAAGTATTTCAATAAACAAAAATAATAATAATATAAAGCCACTTAAGACCAAAAAACAATCAATCATTTAAAACATCAAAAACTTATATCAAACGATCAAATAAATGATAGTTGGCAATATGATCACTTATTTAATATTTTGACATTAATTTTTGATGAATTAAATGATTAAATTTTTAGTTAGGAGTTGCTCTAATTAAGTACGTATTATTTTTATTGTACTTCTCATTCGTATCTTGTATACTACCATGTGAAGGTCTTATATTAGATCGAATGTGAGTCAACAATATTTAGATATGCACTGGATAGTTATCAGAGTGCTAATGATACTTTTTCTTATAAAATTATGAGGAAATATTAAGTACCCTATTTTTAAGTTGATATAAATGTTGATGTGTTAAATACTAAAAGTAATCATATCAAATCAACATATAACGTACATATTTTTTTAGAAAAAGTCATTGGACATTTTATTCAATTGCGCAACGCGCATGCAGAAAACTAGTATAGATATATAGATTTAAAGATATGTAGATTTAGATATATAGATTTATAGATATATATAGATGTATAGATATATAGATTTATAGATATAGATATAGGCTATGTTTGGCGGGCATAAGTCCCTGACTTCTAGCTTTTGTACTGTTCAAAAAGTTCCTAAAAGCTTCTAATTGTGTGTTTGACATGACAATATTTAAGAGCTTTTCAAAAATTAAAGGGAAAGTTCCCGAAATGGGACTAAAAAAGTTCGAAAATTCCAAAATAGGACTGTCATGTTTTTATTCCCAAAATAGGACTAATTACTGCCAAATTTGGAAAATACTGCCATGTTTGAAGTCTGGTACTGCCAAAACATGGCAGTAATTAGTCCTATTTTGGGAATAAAAACATGGAAGTCCTATTTTGGAATTTTCAAACTTTTTTAGTCCCATTTTGGGTAATATCTCAAAATTAAAAGATCTTTTTTGAGATGCTACCGGAAGTAGCATCTAAGAAAAGCTAGTGACTTTTAGTATTAATTAATCCTAACAGCTTGTATACCAAACCGAACTAAATCAAACAGTCAGCTTTTTATCAAACAGCTACCACCTTTTCTTTTTAAGATCTTTTCAGCCACCAAAAGCTAAAAGCTATTAAAAAGCTCACAAAAGTATCTTTTCAGCTAGTTGTGCCAAACATGCCCATAGATTTCTTCTGCTTTTAGTCCTTGATGCCAGTCCACCACAATCTATCTACCACCTACCATTTCTAGGAAGAATTCTCATCAAGTTTTTGCTTGGGCGGGCTTCTCTTCCAGATCATATTATACTAAAACAGATCAGATCAGATCGCATCAGACTTAAACGAACTAGATCGGATTAGACCTGACTGGACCAGACTTAAACAGGTCACACCAACAAATTTCAGTTCAAGTAAAAACATCTTATAACATTATTTGTCACTATATGGTATTATTTCTTGATTTTACCCAAAATGTAAATTGAATTTTAATTTTAATTTTTTAAACATGAACAAGATTAGGGGAGAATTTCAATAATTGGCACTATTTGGAAAAATATTCATGTGGTCATGAAAAGGAGCTCTTGGGAAAATTGTTGCACATGTCCCCATTTTCGTCGGTCCGACCCTGTCTATTTATACACAAACAAAAAAAGGTGGCAATTTAAATCCCAACTCTCGCAATAATGCCTGGAATGGACGGACATCCCTGTGCTAAAAAATGTTCATGTGAACATCCAAAAATTTTAAATAGCAGTGTAAAAAATACATATACAAGGGTGCTAGTGTAAACATTTATATATGTATTTGAACACCCAAAACTTATAAAATAAATTTGAACTTTCAAAATTTATATACAAGATCCGCCAGTGATGTCACGTCATCTAGGGGTGGGTATGGTTGGTTAACTGGGTTTTAGTTAACCAACTTTCGGTTAACTAAGAAATCAACCACTATATTTTTTTATACCAATATCCGTACCATAACCACGGTTAACCGGATATCGGTTAACCAAAGCTTCGGTTAACCACAATTTGGTTAACCAAAAAACCATAAAATATTATATTAATAGTAAAATCAAATACGAATAGAATAGAAACTTCCCAACAAAATGCAACACTTTCAAAAATACGTAGTATTTTTTTATTGGAAGAAATACTGATTATAATATAATAATGCAAATTTTGAGTTTCAAAAAAATAATGCAAACTGAAAAAGATACCGTACGTAAAATCTAGAATACTGGCAATTCTCTAAAATTTTATCCATATTTTGGTATCAATCACATCTATCTAAACTTTTTTCATAGCCAATTCAATATCTATTATACTAATATATATAATTGATTTTTTTTATCGAAGGTGGCTTAATTCATAAAAATAGCATTCACCAAGGGTACAAAATAATAAAAGAACCACATGTAATCATCCGCCCCGTGGTCGAGACTGAGAGTTAACCACCTGTAAGAAAGCAGTATGACTCGCTAGACCGAGATTGGGCAACTTAAAGCCAATGACGATTACCGTAGAACTTTCAAAACCCAAACCTAATGCAAGAGTCTTACAGAGCAAAAAGAAATGTCTTACAGAGCAAAAAGAAATAAAAGCAACACAGAATGAGAAATCCAAAATAAAAACAAGCAAAGCAAAAGATAACAATAACACCATCAGTGGTTTTCAACACCATCAACAACAGATAGATCCTTGGCGGGCCTAAGCAAGCTGACCTGCCGCCTCCCCATTTTTTAGCCCATCAAGAGCCATGCCTTCTCCAACTGCATCTCCTGTGACCTGATTATCCCAAATCCCGCTTTGTGTCTCCAGGGGCTGCCTCCTTTTCCTATGTCTCTTTCTGTTGTGTAAAATTTGTCTTTGATTCAGCCTACAAATCTCCCCCGAGATCAGCCTTCCGTTGCTCTCCATTTCCACCTGAGCTAGACGCCTCACCAGATAGCCATTTGTGGGACCCTGTCGGCTAGTCTTCACTCTTCCACCAGCTCTGAGACCTACCCCATAAGATTTTTCAACCACAAAACCTTCTTCATACTTTAAAGGACAAAATTTGTCAGAATGTCCAATTATACCACATAGAAAACAAAAGCCGGGAAGCTTTTCATACTTAAAATCCACCCAATGCTGAGTCCCATCTTTTGTCAGAGTAATACCCTTCTTCAAAGGCCTACGAACATCCAATCACACCCTTAAGCGCAGATAAGAACTTTGATTACCATCATAATGACTCGTCTCGAACTTGATGAATTAGCCTAAAATGTGACACCGCACCCGAGCGTCCTTGAAAATTCAATTAAAAAAATTCAAACTTTATGTATTGAATTTCTTATTCCCAAACAATTGTAAAACGATTAATGTTTTACGTAATTAATTATCGATTATTGTACTGTTCGAACTCGTATATTAGTGTCGGGCTTGCAAATACTTATTTGGGTCTTGTTAATGAATAAAGAGCCCAACATTATCTAAATAGTGATACATAACCTTTCAAGACAAATTGAGGAAGGTTGGGCAGCCCAAACATTTTTGGGCCCAACCTGCTAAAAATACTAAGTATTCGAGAATGACGTCATAGGCCCACTCGGGGGTGACCCACACGGCTAGTAGCCCAACAATATGAATACTAATGTCATAAATAAGTGGTAGGACGATTGGAGAAGAATGCAAACTCATATGGTATCATCTTTGACATTATTGAGCTAAATAATGGGAGTAGGGTTTTCGTCTATATTCCTTCATCATGTAAATTATTGGGATTATCCTACACATATTAGAGATCAATAATATGATGTATAAAGTTGAATTGGTCCAAATAAATTGGAATGAGTACAAAAAGGCATCTTATGACAAAGGACAAAACAATAGGGCTCATCTTACCATTTTTGGAGGTATTGTAGATATTTTGGACCCCAAATTGAATGGGATCATTTGGGAACCATCCCACATGACTTTGGTACCTGCAAGACAAATAAAAATGGGTGAGACAACTATGTGGGGCGGACATTTTGACATAAGAGCTACAACATTACAAAAAGGAAATAAAAGAAGAGGTCCACACTATGTTTGATTGCAATCAAACACCCTACCTTTTTTTTTTGTGAACCACATGCTTAGATATCATTTTGAGAGCTCCTAAACACCTCCCCCTCACCCCCAATTCGAACTGAAAGAGATAAGAAAGAAGGGAGAGCCTCACACTCAAAAGGGAGAGAGATAAGGGAGTTGGCCGCCGAGATAATCTCTAGTTCGTGGAGCTCACTGTTTGGTTCGTATCTTGAGAAATACTCATCCAAAAAGGGCGTGTGAGGTGTCCACTGAAAGCTCTCAAGAAGATGGATCCATAGACGTGCGGTTTGAAAAAAACGGAGCAGTTTAAGGCCTCCAAATCGTCCGAACAAAACACCACCTCGCAGAATACGTTTTTGTATTCAAAGTAAGTTTGAATCCAAAACCTTCCTCTCTATTGTCTAAATCATATGAATGATTGAAGAACTATTATAAACTGGTTGAAGTGTATAAAATGTTATTATAAAGTGACTTTAATTGTTGGAAAGGTTAGATACTAACCTAGACAAAACCTTGAAAGGTTAGGGAACGAATTCGCTGGAAAAACACCCGTTCTAGGGGCTGTTTTCGTATCGACATTTAGGGGTTGAGCTAGCACTTTGAGGAGGCTGTTTAACACTCATTTCCAAGAAAGGAATCAGTTCTCAAACTTCCTTGGCCTAGGCTTTGGTCATTGGATCGAGAAGGAAAGTTTTAAAGCTCATTTAAGGTGAGGATCGACATCTAATTGCTTACAACTTGTAGGTTGAGCATGAGATTACCTAAATGCCTAAATCATAATTTTTCATTGATTATGATGATTAAATAATGATGAAATATTGATATATTTGCCAAAGGATGAATTTGGAAATGACTTGAGGTTGTATGAATGATATGAGATTAAATGAATTATAAGTGAACTATTTTGTGATTAAATGAGTTATAAATGAACTATTTTGTGAAATAGGCATTTTACTCATGTATGAATTATGTGGATACATAAATGAATATTTATGTATTGAGGTTGAATACTTAAGTTGCTGCTACATAATTGTAAATATGTAGAGAATTACAAAATGAGAATATTTGTATGATAACAATAATCCTAATAGTATTGAAATACTAATAGTGATTATTGGAAATTGTTGATAGAATTGATCCTAGGGATTGGATTGTATGCAATGCACTTGAATATACCTCAAGTGTATATAATGACTTAGTATGAAGCTAAGGTTATGTTTTGGTCAGTCTTTAAGGATGACCCAAGGTAGTTTATCGATATGTCAATTCTAGGCATAGGTTTGCTTAGGAATTGGACTTTCGTGCAAGGTGAGGAAATTGACCCAAGTGACATGAATTGTATGGTGATGTGATAGAGCGGAGCTCTAGAATACAATGTCATGTATTGGGTTGGAGCTCTAAGGAGTGCATGGTGATGTGATAGAGCCGTGCTCTAGAATGCAAGGTAAGGAAATTGACCCGAGTGACATGAATTGTATGGTGATGTGATAGAGCGGAGCTCTAGAATACAATGTCATGTTTTAGGGTTGGACTCTATGAGTTGTCGTGGCTTATAATCACGGGGAATGGGAATGGTGATTTCTAAATGAACATGGGCCCACGGGCCGACTACTTGACTTTTATATAAGTAAGTATATTTTCAAACGGGGTAACCTAGGGTTACAATCATAATGTACTATCACCCTATTTGAGGGTCTTGTGTTTGAAATACTTGTTGTATATCTATTAGATGCCTGCCACACCAGTACTTTATAGCCGTATAGAGTACTGACCACTTCGAGGGCATCCCACCACCATTTCAGGTTGAGGTTAGAGCTTGCATCCTGTGCTCGTTGGTTGAGTGATTCCTCGGAGAGAAGACTTGGTTCGTGCTTCCTCCACATTTGAAACATTAATAAATTGCTCATGGATATTTTACTATAGAGCCTGCGTGCTCATGAATAGCCCTGTGTGGCCCTTTTGATTTAAACAATGTTTTCCGCTGCGTTATGAATTACTTATTATGTTTGTTTCTGGATGTTATATGTGTGAATGATATTCATGACGCCTTGTATAATATGAATGTGTTGGACTGCGGTTGACTATTCGTATTGTACGGCGGGTTGTTGACGTGTCCAGGGAGGTCCGGGGCGTGACATAAAAAAATTGCCAATTTTCCTAGCAGCCCCCAAATTCCTAAACTTAATAGGGGCATTATGAACCTATACCCAGACACTAGCTTCAAATAAATTCATAGATTCAGGAATATCATTAGGTTGAAAAGCTTTCGTCAGAATTAAATCACGTTCAAAAAGCCAAGGACCATCTTCAAGCACACGATTCATATCCAAAACATGATTAAAGTTTAGCAGATACCTTTTTTCTGCGATTTCCGTAATAGTCATACCTCTCCCTGGCCTCCAGATCGAAGACATCAGATCATGAAACCCCGGCAGCTGGACTTTCCGATCGGTGACAACCACTGCAACCACCGAGAAGGTATGCGCCTCGTTCACCTCGTCTCCTTCCTCAGCCTCCTCCTCATCAAAATTAAGCTCATTCTGATGTTCCTCGATTGCCATCTTCCTATATGATTCGACGATTCCTTCCATGCATCCGAGGAACACCTCGATCGAAATTTGCCCTGCTCTGTCTTTCTCCGAAACCAAATCTACAACGTTTGCTTCACTAGTCAATCGCAGATCCTCCTCCTCCCTGTAAAACCGATCTTCGTGGTGACGAAATCGGAAAAAGCACCCTAGCGGCCGAGCCCTAGAGAATATCGAAGATTTAGAGAGAAGGTCTCTCAAGCTCCAATATATATAATTGATTAATTAAGCTGATAGAGTCACATTACAAATTCCAGCAAATATATACTCCGTTGAATTTGTGTGGCAGTTAAGTTAGATTAATAAAAATCAATAATGTACTCCGTATTTAATACTCTGGTATATATTGAAGTTATTTGACCACTTGAGAATTCATGAAGTCCTCATATTGTTATACAACAAAAAAAGTAGACAAACTATTTCTTAGCAAGCAGGTAGTTTTATTTGAAATATGACAATATGCGACCAACGACCTTAGCTACTTGGTTATATACGAAGCATGTATTATTTGAAATACGGTTAGCGGTTAACCGACCATAGTTTATTTTCAAAACCGTTATCATACCGCGAACCGCTTTTTTCTTGTGGTCGGTTAACCGTATCGCGATTTAAATAAAATCGGTTCGGTTATCCGAAAAAGTAACGGTTTTCCGGTTTTTCGGTATGGTTAAACGGTTACGGTTTTTTGTGCCCACCCTTGCCGTAATCCCTTCTTGATCCTCTTCTTAATATCACTATAACACCCAAAAGTAAAATCCCGCCCAAATAACTTCTCATCCAGGTTTGTCCGGTTTTAATTTCAAATCAACCCCATTAGAGATTTCTGTCATTTATGTAAGTATTTATGAATGAATTGTGAAATAACAATGGAGATTGAGAGTTTTCTTGGTAGAGAAGATGAAGAAGAAATTGTATTGCAACAATGAAAAGAGATAGTCTGCCCTAATCTACTAGATACGAACGATATTACAATCTATTAAGCTAATTACAATAATAACCCTATTAAATACATATATTTACTAAAATATCCAAAGCAGTATTCTTAAGAGCCCCCTCAAGATGAGCAAATATCTATCATGTTCATCTTGGTTGCAAACTGGTTGAACAACGGAATTCCCAACAGTTTGGTATAGATATCTGCAAGTTGAAAATATTTTTAACATGTATTAGTTCAATCAACCCATATTTGATTTTTTCTCTATTTATATGGCAATCCAATTCAATATGTTTTGTCCTTTGGTGTTGAATTGGATTATGAGCAAGGTGATAAGTTGATTTGTTGTCAGTATATAGAGTAATAGGTGTAGTGTGTATAATTTTAAGATCATTAAGAATGTAATAAATCCATTGGGCTTCACAGGTTGCAGTGGTAGCAGCCCTATACTGTGATTCAGCAGAAGATCTACTGATAACACGTTGTTTCTTTGATTTCCAAGAAATTAAAGATTCCACAATGTAGAAACAATTACCTGAGACACTTTTTCTAGTATGAAGACAAGAAGCCCAGTCAGAGTCTGTGTAACCCTATAACTAAAAATCAGAACTAGAAGAATAGAATAGTCCTTTACCTAGAGAATTTTTGAGATATCTTAGTATTTTGTGAGCTACACTTAAATGAAGATCAGTAGGATTGGAAAGGAATTTACTTGAAGTTTGAACACTATAAGCTATATCTAGTCGGGTGACCGTTAAATAAAGAAGTTTTCCAATCAAAGTTTTGTAACGTTTAGAATCGGTTAAAGGAGTTTAAGAATATTGTGAAAGTTTGTGTTTAGAATCCATTGGTGTAGATATAGGTTTGCACTTATTATAACCAATATAAATTAATATATCAATTAATGTATCAAGAGTATATTTTCTTTGATATAAAGAAAGTCCTTTTTCAGATCTTGCTATTTCAATACCTAATATGTATTTTAGTTCACCTAGGTCTTTTATAGTAAATTTATTATTTAGAAAAGTTTTTATATTAGAGATTTCATTCATATTATTACTAACAAGAATGATATCATCAACGTACAGTAATAAAACAGTAAAAGTACCATTAACTTTTGTAAATAAAGAAAAATCGGCTTGGGATTGAGTATAGCCAAAAGAAATTAAAGATTCAGAAAGTTTGAAATTCCATTATCCAGAGGCCTGCTTGAGACCATATAAACTTTTGACAAGTTTGCAAACCCTAGAATCTGCAGAATCCAAATAGCCTAGAGGAGGTTCCATATTTTTTTGCATATAAATTTTTCATCCAAATTTTTTGGCAGTAGCTTTAGCTAAAAGAATTCTTACTGTAGTTAGTTTGACAACAGGGGAAAAAGTGTCAAATTAGTCCAGACCTTCTTCTTGAGTATAACCTTTAGCAACAAGTCTAGCTTTATATTTTTCAATAGTACCAATTAGATTTAAATTTTGTTTTAAAAACCCATTTGTAACCAATAGTATGATGGTTTGGAGGTAAAGGAACAGGAATTCAAGTTTTCTTATGTTCAAGAGCATTAAGTTTAGTTTGCATAGCCTACTGCCATTCTGGAAGTTCAATTGCTTGTTTCTATGATTTTGGTAGGGGTGGGCGCGGTCCGGAACGGTCCGGGAAATTAGTAAAACCCGTAATGTATCCGTGAGGTTTTTAATGGTCCGGTACGGTTCGGTTCTAAGGATGGAACCATTCAGTACCATGTCATTTCGGAACGTTGTCAAACACATGCTAAAAAAATTGGACAAATCTTGCAATTAGTAGATATCATCACACCAACCAACTCACGTGAAGTGTTGATATAAATACAAGTTGCATATGTAGTAGTAAAATTTATAAAAACACAAATAGTGCAACACAACTAAGAAAAAGTATGGCAAAATGATGAAACACGAGATAAGTATCACCTTTAATTTACTAAGTTCATGTGAAAATACTCCCCCCGTCCCACTAAGATTGTCCCATTTTACCTTTTCGGGAAGTCCCACTAAGATTGTCCCATACCATATTTGGTAAAGATTATGTGGCTCTAAATCATTCTAACTTTATTCTTACTTTATCAATTTAATATCAACCACACAAACCTACTTTTCTTAACAAGTGTGCCACCTTCTCTCGTCCAATCTTAGTGGGACGGAGGTAGTATAAAAAGGAATATCATGAAATTGATTAATATAATAGAAAATTTTAATGTCCTTTGTTCTAGGTTAAATATTAGTTCTAATTTAATTTATAGTTGAATTGTGAGAGCTAAGATTTAAACCACATTAATTACGTTGTAAAATTGCACAAACATGATACAACAAAAATTCATACACACTACATTACTAGAAATAAATAGTCATTAATGATTTTTGAAGCTCTAACATTCTTTCAATGCATACCAAAATATAACACAAATAATCTAAAAAGAAAAAACAACAATATACATATAAACACACACAATTAGCTATTTTAGGGACACATGAATACATTCTTAGGCTATAAAATCGTTGGTCTATAAAATAAATTTATTGGTATGGAAAAAATATAAAAAACTCAAATGCATTATGTTTGAACGGTCCGGTCCGGTATTTTTTGGTTCTCAAAATCGAGGACCGATCTCGTACCCGTTTCAACGGTACGGTTTCGGTTCGGGATAAAAATCTATAGAACCGTTCAAATATCTGGTATTCGGTTCGGTACCATTACGGGCCAGTTCGGTATCGGTTCGGTTCGGGTTTTATGCCCACCTCTAGTTTTTGGTTCGGTTGAGAAGAATTAAGTCTATAATAAGAAATATATTGTTCAATATGATATCTTATTAAATTAGATATCTTATCAAATTACACGAGGAATTAGAAGCTTCAGTATGAAATGATTGAGGGTGAGTCATATGCATAGTCTTTAAGATGAATAGAGATGGATCTTACCCTAGAGGATTTCCTTGAAGATTGGGTTTCAGGTAAAACATTGTTTACACCCTGAAACACTTGAAGAATCATTACTAGTGTTCATAGAACTATTAAGATGATTAAAAACAGATAGCTCATCAGTGATTTGAGCATCTAAATAGTCATGTTGAGTATGAAAAACAAGAGTATAAGAATTAGTATTAGAATCATGAGTAAAATAGTTAAAAAATTTAGTTTGATTGGTTATCAGTTCAGAAACATTTTATTCTGGAAAGATATTTCAGTGTCAGAATAAGAGTGAGAATATGGAAAAATATTTTCATAAAATTTTACATTTCTAGAAACAATTAAGAAACTCGTGATTAGTTAAATCATAAAGTTTATAACCTTTAAAAAGGGTCATATCTACCGTCTTGTCCACTGTTCATTTTTGTTTTTGTTACATTCATAATTGTCCACCCCTTTAACCGATATATTGTTGCCCAAATAAGGGTGTATTCAATTCTAATCTAATACGGAGTATACAATTCCAAGTTAGGCCCAATTTAACAATGATATCAATGTTAGGTTGTGTTTGTCCACCCCTTTTTGTTGGGGGTTGTTTTGTCTCATTTGTTTGTACTTCGTACCTTAAATTGTTAAGTTCAGTTTATTGAGATAGTATTACAGTTGTGTGGGGGTGGAGGTTAACGGCTCAATTAAAAAAAAATTAAAATCCATTGGCTGCTCACTATTCGTTACCAAGGGCTATAGAGCTGTTTGGGGGTGGGTCTGGTTGGGTGGGGGGGGGGGGGGTAAAAACCCTTTTAATATATATTATATCTAACTATTCTTCAATTCTTCCTACTATCTAATAATCTCTAATCGTCTTCATCTTCTCCAATTCTCTCTACACTTATTAATATATATTATATCTATTTAAATTAGATATATACTTATTATCTACTTATATTTACATATATTATATATCTACTAATAATTAAGTACATATATTAAAGTATTATATATAAGTGTACTACTCATTTTATAGTAGTATACTTATATATTACTCCGTATATGCTATTTTAGCAAATGCATTTAATTTTTTAAATTATTCTCAATCCTCAGGTGTACTTCATATATTCTCAAATAAATATACATTTAATTTTTATTGTCTAGCACTTATTCAATTAATTTAAAAAAATAACAAGAAAATAGTCCCAACCTGAGACCCGACTGGGTGGCCCGGACCGGAACCAATACCGGTATAAACCGGGCCGGTACCAGGCCTTTCTTCCTAGGAACCGGATCCCGCCCGGGACCGGGCTGGCCCGGCCCGATTCCATCGCTAATGGTGATGAAAACAACCATATTTAGTTAGAAGATGAATAACTCATTGTTTTTCAACATCCCCTTGAATGTTCATCACTATTAAGGGAAAATGAGTACATTTTTTAATCCCATATTGTAATGTGTTGTTTCAGCAATAGTCTTGTAAAAAGATCCGGTGAAATAAAAACTCAATTGAAGAAAGAAAATGTGCATTGCATATACTACCACCTTGTAGTTTAGTATGTATGTCGGAGATGACATATGCAAATCTTGCATACGAGTAGGGGTGGACCCAGTCCAGAATTTGGTTCGGGGATCGGACTAGGTCCGTTTTTCCGGTATCGGATTATGACCGGTACTTGATTGGTTAAAAGCTACATTCGGCCCCCAGTTCCAATATTTGGGAACGACTCAAGGGGCTCCGGTCTCCACATGACTATTTTTTTTAGCTTGAAACTAGGTAAGAAAATATAACGGGCACGTGATTGAGACCGAACCGCCTGGGTACTCGACACCGGCGCACACACTATATGAGGTTGAGAAAATGGCTAATTTTTTTCAGCTTGAAACTAGGTAAGAAAATATTACGGGCACGTGATTGAGACCGAACCGCCTGGGTACTCGGCACCGGCGCACACACTATTTTAGCCGTTTTGCCAGCTCCTCGGGCACGGTAGTTTTTCATATTTAAAGTCCACTCTATGCTCGGGGTTCCTTCCCTTTCCTCAGCGTCGTGCCCACTTTCAAAGCTTTACCAACATCCATACAGACCCTAATTCGCATGTAAGAGTTCCAACGTTCTTCAAACTGACTCTCGCCAAAACTAATGAATTTACCAATGAAATTACCAACTATCCTAGCAACTCCTAAATTCATATAGTCATAGGGTACATTATGTGCCTGCACCCAAAAGCCAGCCTCATTTAGAGGAACCCTCAGGGGTATATCTCCGGGTTTCAGTGCCCTCAAAACCAGCAAGTTTTGTTCATATAGCCACGACCCGTCACCGAGAACATGTTCCATGTCAAAGATATGATAAAAAGTGAACAAGTACCTTTTTCTCCTCTCTTTGATAGAAATTCCTTTCCGGGATGCCAGATTGAGGCCATGAGATCCCTAAACACTGGAAACTTCAGTATTCTGTCTGTGAGAACAGTGCCTACAACCGGAAAGTTGCTACTGCGGTTCGAAGCTTCTTCCTCCCCGGCGATCTCCTCGTCCAGTATCAACTCTTCCTCCTCACCACCGATCACCATACTGTCGCATTTGTTGACCAGTTCCTCCATCTCGACCATAGTCGTTCGATGTCCCTCCAGAGCCCGATACACTAACTTGTTGCGATCAAAAACTCTGCCCCTCTCGTTGTACTCACGCCCGCCCATCCAAATGATTCAATCCGCGCCGGTAGCTTCCCAAAGCTTCGTCGATCAACACCTGCGGCGCACAAAAGTCGCACCGAGAAAAAACCCTGCACGAGGAAGGCGGCCACTTTTTCCAATACACACTGTCATTGTTACATTTATTTAACTTAATAAACACTCAATATGCCTTGTTTTATTGTCATCATCATCATCATCATCATCATCATCATAAATTATTAGGGAAAAGTACATATAACGTACCTATGGTTTGAGCCATTTTCAGATAGGGGCATGTGTTTCATTTTCTAACAAAGTGGGGCATGTATTTCAATTCCGTTATCATAGCAGGGGCATGACATCTAACGCCGTTAGAAAACTTAACCCCGATTTTAAAAAGTCCGAAAAATTAAAAGAAAAATACTGGGAGGTGCGCCTCGTCAAGGAGATCAACAAACTATCTTTATGTTTTTGTTTCCAGCCACCATATCTCCAGAAAGTCCACCATAAAATTGATATTAGCGAATTTGTTTTAAAAAAAAATCCAAATAGAGCCGAAAAATCCAAAGAGAAAGAGAGTTTGTTGATCTCCTTGACGAGGCGCACCTCCCATTATTTTTCTTTTAATTTTTCGGAGATTTTTTAAAATCGGAGTTAATTTTTCTAACGGCGTTAGACGCCATGCCCCTGCTATGATAACGGAATTGAAACACATGTCCCACTTTGTTAGAAAATGAAACACATGCCCCTATCTGAAAATGACCCAAACCACATATACGTTTTCTGTACTTTTCCCAAATTATTATCATTAGTCAAATTTGTGTTTATACATATACAAGTAATCGCTTAATTCATGGGAAAACCTTATTATGAAAGTTCGAAAACCTATTTGACAGTTTTCGCTTAATTCATTATTAAAATCGATTTAGAATTTTTTTTTGAGGAAAATCAGCGTACATATATCTCAAACCAATTGGAATGCAAGAAAACAAACAAAATAACTTAAGAAAACTGTCGTCCCGCGAACTAGAGTCAGAGTCAATTACCTCAGTAATACAACTCACTGATCCAAAAATGGGCACAATTGAGCCAGTGACAGTAATCCTAGTCAAATCATCTCCTACCTCCAAATCCAAACATAATGTATAACAATCAGAAAGACAAAGAAAAAAGCAAAAGGAAAAACAAATCCTGCCAGAAACAGAAAAACACGACAGAAAAAGAAACAGCAACCAAAAGCACAAACAAACACACCGCAGCTCCAACCCATCTTGAGTTGTCTCTATTTCCCAAGTCCGCCTACGCTTTTCTCCCGAAGCTTCTTCACTTTGTTTCAGAACCACTTCCTTATTGGAAGTACTACCAGAGTCATTTGCATCTTCATTATCCCTCAGTGATTTTCCTACTTTTCCTTGCTCCTTCCATACCTGGCTCCTATTTTTCCTGTCGGGCCAGTCTTCACCCCTCCACCTACCCTGAGAGACGCATCATAACTCTTTTCTAAAACAAGCCCCTCCTCATACATAAAGGGACAGAACTTTCTCGAGTGCCCAAAACCCCACAAATAAAGCAAAAGTTGGGAAGTTTCTCATATTGGAAATCTACCCAATATCCCACCCCTTCTTTTTTTCAGCGTTGTACCCTTCTTCAGAGGGAACTCCACATTAACACAGGCTTTCACATGCAAATATGGCCTCCACTGCTCCCCATAATTATTCTTATCATAATCAACAAACTTACCCAAAAAATTACGCAAAATTGATCTTCCGGTCTGCGATCAGTGCTCCAACCACCGAGAACCGCGCCCGAGCCACCTCCCTGTCCTCCTCTCCTTCCTCGGCATCGTCGCAATCCAGTTCTGCCTCCTTCTCCGCCACCTTCATCCGCCTATACCTATCCGCTATGGTCTCCATTGTTGAGCGCAACAATAACCGATGCACCCCTCCTTGATTTCGACTTATCACACAAGCCTCGAATTACCTTCCCATTCACCACTTCTCACCCTCGCTTTATAGCCCCAACCCCTTCCCAAGATTGTTACTTCCAATGAAGCACCGCACCTCGGCAATATCGCCAAGACCGGACCGAAGACTAGCGGCGTAAAGCCCTAGAAATCACTCCTTTAATCACTCCTTTTTTTCTTAATCACTCACCCGTCAAATCGATTTAGAATTTTAGATAATGTTAAGAGTTTCGGTCATGCAATTTGAATTTCTTAAATCGTTTTGGAAGGGTAAAATGGAGAATTAAGAACGGCCCTGAGGCTCAAGTAGCTGTCATTCAATTTACTGAATTCAAAATTTCAAAGCAGCTTTGGAATAATCCCGCCAGAAAACGCACTGAGAGCTGGAGAAAATGGACGCTCAAGGGCCGACGCTGAAGCTAACTGTGGAGAAAGGTCCACTCGCTGGCCAATGCCTGGAATTCAAACCTGGTTTTACCGTCCGACTTGGCCGAGTTCGCCGCCCTGGCCGTGGGCCGTTCAACAATCTCGTCATCAAAGATGCAGATTCCGGCATCGAAGATCCCGGCATCTCCTCTAGACACCTCACCGTCGAGTTCAACTCCTCCGACGGGAAATGGGTCATCTGCGACCTCGGATCCCTTAATGGGACCTTTCTCAATGGCGACAAACTTGACCCGTCCTGTCCTGCCGCGCTTTCTGACAGCGACGTCATTAAGATCGGGGATCTCACTACAATTAAGGTCCAAATCCATGGTCTCCACCGCGCTTCTACCGAGGAAAAGGTAAACCCTAGGGGAAAGGCCGCCACAGACACCGCACAGAAAGATAACCGCATTGTGTCTGAGAATCCCGTGTTAGGGTTAGCGGATGCAGAGTTGGGGAAGACGAAGAGGCGCCCCCCTCCCCGTCCCAGGGGCAGGCCTCAGAAGGGAAGTAATGTGATCAGTGACAAGGTCGAACCTCAAGCTGAGGGCACTGGTTTTGATAAAGGCAGGACTTCTCATGTTGAAATTGCTATTGTTGAGAACACAGAGAGCTTCAGCGTGATAGAGACTGATGAAGATGGTGGTCAGCCTAGGACCAGGAATGGCCGGGGAAGAGGAGGACGAGCAAAGACGGGAAGGGCCACCACCAGAAGTACAAAGCAGAGCATTCTACAGGCAGAGAGTGTCACCTCAATTCATTTGGAAGATGGTAATGCAGCAAATTCCTCTAGCATAAAGAAGGACGGAGATAAACTTCAAGCTGAGGGCACTGGTTTTGGTAAAGGCAGGACTTCTCATGTTGAAATTGCTATTGTTGAGAACACAGAGAGCTTCAGTGTGATAGAGACAGTTGAAAATGGAGGTCAGCCAAGGACCAGGAATGACCAGGGAAGAGGAGGACGAGCAAAGGCGGGAAGGGCCACCACCAGAAGTACAAAGCAAAGCATTCCACAGGCAGAGAGTGTCACACCAGTTCATTTGGATGATGGTAATGCAGCAAATTCCTCTAGCTTAAAGAAGGACGGAGATGAACTTCATGCTGAAGGCACTGGACTTGAAAATGCAAGTCCAATAAGAAAAAGGAATTCAGTCAAGGTAGAGAATTTCAGTGATGGGGCTTCTCAAGTTGAAATGAATGTTGTTGAGAAAACAGATAGCTTCAGCACGATAGAAACATTGGATTTGGAAACTATGACCATGGGTGAGTGGCTTGCTTATTTGGAGGTTGAGATCCCAAAACAAATAATTGAAGCCTCAGAGGAGATGATTTCAGAAATGAGAAAGAAGGCAGAGATGTTTCAAGAATTTGTGATGAACCAAAAGAATGCAAAGGATGGGAGGACCTGATGTGAGGTATATATTAGACTGTCTTGGAGAGATCAGAAGAATCACTGGTTCTCTGGTAATTTCATAGGAGAATATCCTGTTGCTGTAGTATTTTTGTTTCATTTTAGGGCCAGTGCTGGTTTTAAATTCGTACATGGAAGAACAAACTTGTGAGAATCTTGACATCTTGCTTTAAGCTGACTTTGCTCCCACATTTCCTTTTAAGCAAAACCATGATGCTCTAAGTTCTGCATGAGGCACGACCCTTATTGTACTGTGATCTCTGAGTCCTAGATTTAGTTCTTACATGAACTTACTGCTATGAATGGGGGAGTTTCACTGTTAAAGTCTTATTAAGCATCCCCAATGCAACCCTTTCTAGTTTAAATAAATTATGTCGCATGTCAAATTATTAAAAGGCTTTCTAATCTACATGATAAATTGTGGAGTTACTAGGCATTAACATTAGAAGGAAGCCTCCAATGCATAGCCTCAAAGCCCAAATTAAGTCTTCATGTGGAATTTATTTTATTAATAAATCATTTTTGGATCAACCGTTGCCGTATACGATAGGTTTTCATTGTAAAGTAGTTATACATGCAGAGAAGTGCTTATTCCTCACAATATTCTGGACAGCATTCTCTTAAAGCAGGTGTAGTTGCTTTTACTTTCTTTTGTTTCTTCATGTGATTAGGAAGAGAAAACTTAATTTTAATACCATTGAAATCATAGTTCATTTGCTGTCAAATTCTAAATCAACTCAGATGAGTCTGTTTTTTTTGTTGGCATCTGAGTACATCATCTAGTACTCCGTAATACTCTATATGCATCAAGACTTATAGCGGTTGAACACAACATGATTTATGACAAAATGCAGATTTTCTGTGCATGTGGAAGATGTAAACACAACTTTCTGATCACATCTAATATGCATTCATGTTTGGTTTAAACTCATCCAGACAAGAAGCAGCATCAGTAGTCTCTTTTCTTTCTTTGAACAAGTGGCATATATGAATTTTATCTTTTCCTTTCAACAAATTTAACCAAATTACCAGAACAGGCTCACATACTCAAAATGGTGTTTAAACAGACAAAAAGGCAAATAGGCAATGAGTGTATAAGCATCAACAAAAGGGAGCTGCGAAAAGTGGTGTTGAGGCTGAGTTACATCCCAACATTTCAGGTCTTAGAATGTGTGACATTCTTCTTGCACTGTTTTTTGCAGGAAGGAAAAGTAATCTCAAATTATTCAAACTTCAAAGGCAGTTTGGGCACTTGTAAGAATCAAAATTCATAACATGTCAATTCTCAAAAACCAAAAAAATGTCATCAGTTGAGTGTAAATCAATTTTAAAAGCAATGACCATGACCAGCGTCATAGTACTGCAACTATCCATATATGGATAATAAAGATTTAACTTCAAAAAATGAGCACTAACCTATGCTTAGAGTAAAGGTATACATCATCCAATAATACAAAAGCAAAAGTACTAAAACATTCAGTGTGAAATCAAAAAAGCCTTGGGGCATATCCAAAATTTCTAGACCATAGAAAACCGCCAAGCATTAAGCAAATACTATTTATGATATTTTTCAAGCAGTGCTTTGTAACCGTGTAGTATGTTAGTTTAAGTAACTGCAGGTAAAATATTAATTTAAGAGCCTCTGGATATTGTGGCAAAGTCTATTCAGGTTATTGCTATTACTTGTTCACAATGATATCATTGAAGTAAACTGTACATCTATCCTATTAACATTATAATTGCTTCATGCATTACACAAAGTGAAACAAAGTCTGTTCAATTTGTTCTCTCTTTTTGGTTCTTTAAGGGGAGCAGATTTAATCCTAGCCTCCTAGGCACTGCAATTTCATAAATACTACACATTTCTCTGCTATGAGGTGTAAGTGCTACTTCAGGTAAGGGATTCCTAAAGTTATATACGTTTTAATACACATATGGTTTAATAATATGTGTATGTATATTATATGAAGCTAGACAGAGATGTAAGATGGTTTTATAAAGTTCATATTGATGAAAGTATAAAACTCTTCTGTGGATCTCATCTCAGGGTCGCCCAAATTTTTTTCTCAGAAAAATAGATGTTTAGTTAAAAGAATGTGTTCCATTACAAAAAGCTAAATTAATAACATGCTTATGATTTAAAGTATAAGCTACGTTGTTCATCTGCTCAACTGAGGGATAAACAAGTGAACTAATGCGCCATATATTACACATCCGGTGACAGGAAAGGTTTCAGGTCCACTGCCCAATCTTCATTATTGCCTCCTTTTGGTTTTCCATTATACAAATTACGTTCAGAAGAAATTAAAAAAAGATAGCCTTGATTTACGGATTGTAATTCTGCATTCAAATCTTCTCGACCAATCTTTGGTTGTAGAGGACCAGAGTCCGCCCTTTCAGTGGCCAAAACACCAGAAATGATTAAGTTTATACTGAAGTCCTCCTTTATCGTGCGGTCGTGCCCACTAAAGATCTCATTTGCTGCAAAAGCTATCGATTTGGTTGAATGGAAAGGAGGCATCCTTGCAATAGGCGTTACAGAGAAAGATATGGCTAGAGATGAGAACTCTAAGTTCCAAAATACAATCTTGCAAATGCTAGATTCAAATGTGAGCGGTTAACTATCAGAAGCCTCATCCAAGGAGAATTTCTCTAAGATATCAGAACAATGTATTGTTCTTAGACTTCTTGGCATTGGCTGTAAAAGGATTGGTTTAGTAGGGTTTGGGCCAACAGTTTCCTTAACCACAGCTTATCGGGCTTTTGGTGAGACCATTGATGTGTCTGCTAAATCTACCCAGGCAAGTAGCATTGATGTTGTACTTGCTTCTGTTGATGGCCTCTCAGAGGAATCAAAGATCAGGACTGCCTCTGCAATAGCAACCAGTACCTGTTTACCAAAATGCTTAGCTGGGAGTGAACTTTACCATTATCATACTGAGTGTCTTTGTGTATAGGAACTGGGCTTGGCACCCTTTGAATATAACAAGTTTAAGTCTGTTGAGAGTATTGGTCTTGGAACTGGGGATGAGATAAAAAAGAAGCTCAAATATACATAAGTTGTTTATTCGGATGAAATATTCGGGAAAGAACTTCTGAATGCACCTGCCAACATACTTACCCCTGGTTAGTAGTTATCCTTTTCAATTATCCAATAGCTATGGCTAAGTTATTTTGTAATAATTGGGTTTACCTTATTAAAGAAAAGTAAATTTTATTAAATCTTTTTAATTTTAGTTGCATACTCCCTCCATTCCAAATTGATGGTCCTATACTTTTTTGGTTCAAATATTAAGAAAGTGAGGTAGAATGACTCATATAACCTTACTTTATTGCATTGTTCATTCCTTTACTTTTATTGTTCATAAAAAGGAGGGGTATAAATGCTAATCTAATTTAATTTCCTTACCAAAAAGGGGAACAAGACTATCATTTTGGGACAACCCAAATAGAAAATACAGGACCATCATTTTGGGACGAAGGGAGTAAGATTATTAGTGTTTGTTTATGTAGTAGCAAACTCTATTGAAATTGTTTAAACACATATCTGCCATTAATTTTTTGAGTTGTTGAACAATTTTTTAATTCTCCCCTACGCATTTCAAAAATTCCCCTCTATACCTTGATTTCTTTCCTTAGCTACCATTTTATGTGTTCCAAAATGACCCTCAAAGTTTTTTATGGTCAAATTTTCACATCATGTTGTATAATTAGTTAGATAAGAGTATAGATAAAAAAATGATTAAGAACTTATTTTTAATTCTATGCCCCATTGATGCATGGTTTTCAAGGCCTATTCGATGATTGTTTGAAACGACTCATGAAAAAAGTGTAAAATTCCTAGCTAAAAATACTGGTACACAAGAAGGATGGAAAAAGTAAAATTCTCACCTAAAATACTGATAAGAAAATGGGTCAAACAGTTCAAGATAACACTCAACATTTACATTGTTGGTCTCGATGAAGGTAGTGTGATAAAAATAATCGATGAATGAAATAAAGTATTTATAACCATCATAAGATTCCACTGAGGCTGGTCCCCATACATCGGAGTGTACAAGTTCAAAAGACTGATTTGTTCTAGACTCAAATTTAGGAAATGGTAACCTAGTAGATTTAGACTTGCAACAAATTTCACAATCTTTAGTTTTCTGGCATAAACTAGGGAATATATGAGACAAAATATGGTTGGAGGGATGAGCCAGTCTTCTATGCCACAAGTCTTGATTTGTTTGGGAAGGAAACATGGCGAGGAGGCTCAAAAAAGGATCGGATATGGAGACAGTAGAGCCCCATCAAGGAGGAACCCTTCACCAATGCTAGTAATATGACATCATTACGAGAAAAAGTGACCCCACAATGTAGGTCTTTAGTGATGCAGGAAACAAACATGAGTTTGAAAGGAAAAGATGAAGTAAGAAAAGCAGTTGATTGTAGACTCTGGAAATTATTACATTTGTGCTTATTAGATCTTAATAATCTTGAAAGTGTTACTTCTTCTAATCTTGATAAATCTTAATTTTCCCCTATTCATGAGTAGAAGAAGTAACACTTTCAAGATTATTAAGATCTAATAAGCACAAATGTAATAATTTCCAGAGTCTACAATCAATAATGTCCAATTTTGCAAAAATCTAATGCTGTGGAGAGAACTTGTATAATACATGTTGTTTCTTCAGGAGTAACCATGACATTTCAGTTCAAGTAGCTAGTAAATTCCCCAAGAAGAGCAGTAGGATTAGTTTGGTCTTGATTGCATTGTTTCAACCCCCAAAACTCGGCAAACTCGTGGATCATATATTGAGTGGACTAGACGTAAGATTGGGTTTACCGGTAAGCTTATATTCAGCCATATTAGATCGATCTACTAGTATGTTGAGATTTTTTTTTATAAACCCCCCACCCTCTCATCCTGTTTGGGCTTCATTTTGGGGGTGAAGAACCCAACACCTATCTTGAGTGTGTACTATTCATTGTCTATTTGTCTGCCAATCTTGTTGCGGTGAAGACATCTAAGGTATGGTCATTTTCCCTTACACGGCTCGAAAGTGGCAAATGCTCTACTTCCCAATGAACTACCTTCAGAGTGAGGTGAGAGCATATTGACTGTCATCACTTTCCTCCTTTAGTTTATCTCCTCTCTTTGTATGGCACTACAAACGGTTTGGAAGCTAGGAAGTTCAGAAGCCATTAGAAGATGACCCTTGAGATCTTGATATTCAGCTCATAAGCTAGCAAGAAGCTGAAAAAACTTGTCTTCCTCTGCTCTTTTTAGGTGGGTGGATGCGTCAGTTGTATGGGGTCGGTACAGATCAAATTCATTCCATTTTGCCTTGAGAGCTCCAAGAAGTTGATCGAAGGACATACCAGTTTCACGGACAACAATTTTCCTTATAAAAGGATTTTGCTAATTGATTCCTTATTAAAGCGACTATTTCACTAATTGATTCCTTATTAAAGGATTTTGCCCAAAACGGTGATCCACGGTATAA